TGTGATAAGTGGGTAACTGTCACTGCCACCCAAGGGCATCCTGGGGTACTCATGCTGCCCTATTGGAAGGAAGGACTGAACTCAGGTTTCTGCAGCAGTAAAGTAGGGCAGATGAGTAAAGGAAAACATTTTAATAACTATACATTATTTATATCACTAGCAGGCCATTAAATCTCCCATACAAAATGCATTTAATGAAGGGGAATATGTTGTTTGAACACTGTGTAATTGTCAGAACTAACTCATCTGGCACAGCAGCATGCTTTGCTTCTTGAGCTATGATGACAGTTTCGTGAAATTGCCAGCAGAGTCAGGTTGGCATTTCACTATAGACATTCAGACTGATCTTACAGCTGAAGCTCCAAAGTTGTGTTGGAGAGATCTAAATTCGGTCTCCTCTTTTTTTTTTCTGACACATCTCTATAGCTCTTTCATCGGTCTACCTGTTGGTTTCTGACTCTGTAGATGCATTGTAACCCTTTTTTTCCTCTCAACACTTTGCCTCAGTTTAGGTCCTAAAGATGTAAGTTTTTCAGAGGATGACAAAAATCATTCCATTATGCTTTTTACCCTGTGTACATCTGTGCTTCCCTCAGAAACACAGCCCAGTTGTTGCAGTCCTAAGTTATTGTTTTAAGTGAAACTCTTCATCACATTTAATAGGTGGAGCATTGTTAAAACCTAGTCAAAAAACCTTCTCTGTCTGCAATTTAACTTTAATTTGATATTCAGCTTTGAAGGAATCAGTATGTAGCAGGGTTTTGCAATCTAACTGGGTCTGCTTACATAAGGAAAATAAGCCTTTCCATTACTGCATTTAGAGTAACAATGAATTTCAATTTCAAAACAACAATTTTAAGAAATTGGAAGAAATAAAATGTATGGGTAGGATGTTAAATATTTTCCTAGCAAGAAGACTCCTGAAGAAATGAACTATGTTCTGTGGAATCCCTGAGTACATAAAATGCCTATCACTGTGTGCCCTTTTGGCAAGTTTCGAGCTTTCAGAAATACCTATGAGCTCCTAAAAAGTCAGCATTTTTTTTTTTTCAGAGGAAGGCAGTGAACTAAGGCTATTTTGGCAAAATCAAAACGTGAAGTCAGATATTTGAGGAAAGTCAGTTTCTTATTGAGTTGACTGCCATCCTTTTTTTCCTCTATTTTTCTTTTTTTTTTATTTTATTTTGATATGGCATAATATGACAGAAGAAGAGTAGAACAAGAAGTGGTCTTCACTCTTCTAATGTATTTTGTGCATCATTTCATGCATGCAGGAAGATCTGTTTTTAAAATTATATCAGTAAGAAGGAACTCTTACCACTAGAGTGAAGAGAGTAACATTTAGTCACTGAAGGCTTTTGTATGCTGGCTATGAACAAACCCCATGTGGGGGTTCTGTGCATGTATTTCTTGATATCAGTATTTCTGAAATTCTCAAACCATATGGGAAGAAATGACTCAAACCTCTGTTTCACATCTTTCAAGACCTTGTTATGACTTATCCACAGAAAACTGTGTGCTGTGGGGGTCAGAGGAACAGGTTCCTGGTGTCTTGATAAGCCACACAGTACTGGACAAGGAATTCCACCAGTTTTACTTTCTCATTCCCTGTGTGCAGGCCTGTTCTCTAAGTGGGAAATAAGACACTGAAAATCAGGCACATCAGGTAACTGCTGTGCAATGTCTTTTTTTCTGTGTTTTCACAGTGATACAGAAATTCACTGTGAGAGAAGAATTAAAGATAGTGGTGGAGAATTTATTATTTTTCATGAACTTTCATCCAGAAAACAGCACAAATCATGATTTGTGCCCTGTAACACTTTTGGCTTTAACTTCTGTCTACATGCAACTTCTCTTATCTGTTAATAAGATGAGAACATCATCACAGCTTATGTTTCATTTGCTGCTGAGGTGTGGGTATCAGCATAAAAAAGGAACAAAACTTTAATCATTGTGAAATGTTATGTTACCTTTGTGCTTCTTTGTAACCACTGAAAGCAGTTACACACAGGATGTCTAACTTCTGTTCATTCATTTGCCAAAAGGAATTTTCACAGCAAAACAGTCATCAGCTGTAATGTACAGTGTATATCTACCCTTCCATTTCATAGAGAAGAGATGGAGCTATTTGATTTATTAATAAACCAAAGTGATTTTGCCATAAATCAGAATTCAGTAGATAGCTTTGTTCCTTACGTAAAGTACTATTCTAGTTGGATTTTCTCTCCTCCCAGTTATTATCTGGTTAAAGATCTTAATCACATATTTCAAGTTAATTGTAACAGAACACAAATACACAGACAGTTAGATTTAATGATAAAGGACTTTTAGTTCCAAAACTGAGTCATAAATGAAAAGAATCCAACAAACAAAGGAGAGAGAAAGACTATGTTGCATGATAGCAATGGGAAAATCAGGTAGGTTTAGTCCTCTCTGATCTTGGCAAGATCTTTCTTTTTTTGTGAAGACTTTAGTTCTAGATTCTAGGTGGTTTTTTGATTCTTATTTGTAAAGTTGCTGGCTTTACTGGCAGGTTTTCTTAGCAGAAAGGGAATTCAGTCTGCAAACTTCCAATTGCTCTAGAATTTAATACTGTACAGCACTGAAGCCATGCTCTCTGCTGAGTTCAGCAGCTGCAGAAAACCTACATTTGATTGTGTTGGGTTTTATTAAGTGTCTCTAGGATTCCCTCAGGGGTATTCATCAAAGATGTTCAGATTTCTTCCTTTTCTTTTTTAAGACCACTGAATGAAAATTTGTGCTAAATAAACTGTATTATATATAGCATAATAAAAGACAAGAAATGTTTCCCTTTCCAGGCGTTTCCCTTCAATTTACAGACGCAATTTAATCTACAGTGGTGATTCTTCTGTAACACAAGCCTTAGGCAGACAGACAGTATATTATTGAAAACCCTTGAACAATGTTTGAAGATTATTTTTCCTGTACTATTTTTTTTCTTTTTTCCTGCCAAGGAACATACCAGGGTAAGGAAGGAAAACATGATGTTCTGGGGCAGCTGATCAGGTGTTACATAGACAGCACAGGCTTTCCCAGCACAACAGGATTTGGAGTGACTTGGGAGAACTTCACCTTCTCCAAGAAGCTCTAAGTCAGCTGCCAGGTAGCACTGGCTGCAAGTATAGTGTCTCTGTAACATGAACCTCCAACTGCTGGAGGCAAGAATGCAGGGAGAGTGTGTACAGTTTAGGAGCTGTAGTAACAGATTTCACATGTCAAGGCCTGAAAGCTTCATGATGCCTGTCCTAGCCAGTGATTCTTTCCTTGTCACTGCTGATGTCTGTCCCTGTCTGAAGTGAGCAGCTGAGGAACAAGCGTCAAAGAGAATAAACATGTGGCTTTACATTATCTGCCCCATTCTACAGCATAAGGATGTCTTAGGGCCCTCTCTATAACTAGGTACTTCCGAGCATCCACAGCATCAAACTTCAGATATGTAGAGAATTTTTAGGTTGACAGTGGGAAATATCTAATGACCTTAATTACCAACAGTATTTGGTGCTGTGAAGACAGTCTGAATTTCTTGCTAAGTCTCAGGTATTTGACTGCCAACTTTGATGTGATTTAGGACCCTGATTCTCAGCATAGCAATCTTCTTTGTCAGAAATGTCCTTTGTTTTTACTCTTCTTCCTCCCCTCCTTGTTTACAAGCTGAATTCTGCATGTAAATGCTGTTCTTTCCTCCAGTGGGCTGTAGCTGTCTCTAAGTGACAGCCAGTCTTCACAGTTCTCTTTATCATCTGTTGTTTCTTGAACATACAGGAAAGATTTGCAGGCATGGGTTGTTTGAATTGTCTCCTATATACTGAAAGTTTATCTGTTTTCCAGGTGTAATTGGTAGAAAAATGACAGAGGGCATTGATGATGATGCTAACATATCCTCTAGTTTCTTTTGTCTCTTATTTAGAAACTAGTTGCTTACAGCTCTTCTGAGCAGAGTCAATATCAAAAAAAAGACACACCTGTTTCAGGGAAGCTGGCAATAAGATTGTGTCTGTCCTTTGGTTACTGATTCTCCATTAGCTGTTCCCATAGTGTGTTCTAAAAAGTAGTGGTTGGGATCTACAGCTGCTCAGCAAAACCATTATAAAACATAACATTTGCAGTGTTACCATTGTGGAAAGCTTATAATATGGTAATTCATAATTGGTTCTTTCATTCAAATGGTATTCAACGTGATTTTCTAAAGCTAGTCCTCACTGATGTAGGCAAATAGTCTTCTCAGCAGCACCAGGACTGACTATCTCTGATTTCATTGTACGGTTTGTTTGGTCTGGCAAAAAAGGGAGAGCCTTGATTTTTATTTAACAAAATCAAGTAATTATGCTGTGTGAGGATGTTTTCCTCAGACACAACAACATGCTAACTACAGGTAAACTTAATTAGTCAGCAGAAATACTAAATTCAGACTAATGAGCTAGAGAATTGAGAAGATTTTTAAGTGTTAATTAGGAAAAAGTTCTTCTGCTATATGTGTGTAATTTGCTGTAGTAGATTAATTCATCTTTTTTAGCATAAAGCGATTAAGAAGTCTTCTAATATTTCAAAAGCTCACATTAGCTTTTTCATAATTGGCAGTGTATTGACTTACATTGTCCTAGATTTCCCGTAGCTTCACTGAACATGGAGTATGTCAATACTATTGAATAGTTAGAGCCTTTCAAGATAAATTTCATTTTTCCATTACAGAACAAAAACATTTGACTTCTGGGCTTGGCATCTTCTATCTAACACTTTTAGAAACTCACATTCAAAACAAAAAAGTCATACTTGTAAGGAAGATTTTGGAAGACATCTAAGGAATTTTGGCACTCAGATCCCTGTGATTTTCAGTGCCAGTGATCAGTGTCATTTATTTGACTGCCTTCGGAAAAAAAAAAAAAAAAAGACTTTAATATATTAAAAGCTAGAAAATAAAGTGATTTTGGCTATAATTTGCAAGTCTTTGCCCTAAGTAATTAACACTTTTATTATTCCAGGACTCAGAATTTGACCCCTTGAAGTTCACCAGTGTCATTGAATGCGAGAAGCCAAACAATGACTTAAGTAGGTTTCGAGGTTACATGTGAGTATTTCATATACTATCATTCAGTAAACACTACTTTTCTCTAATATAGAATAAAATAAACGCTAGTTTGTTTTGAGCTGTGTTCTGTAAGTTGCATCTTTATAAGGGCTGTGTATTTAAGGCTTTTTTTAGTGGATTCTCACTTGAGAATGGATGGAAGCCTCACGTTTCAATTCCTTAAAATGGATTTAATTGTCAGCTTTGATCAGTTTACACTCCAGAAATTAATGCATGAAGCAGTGCAGTTACAGACATGCTTCTCCCTTTCCTTCCCTCCATGAATCAAAAGAAGTTCATCTGGAAATGGGAGGAAATAGAAAACCGGTCTAAGAGAGCCAGCAAACAAACACAATCTTTTGCACACTGCGTTTATGAAGATGGGTCTGTTTGAGGTTTCTTTTAATATGTGTCATTGAGGAAAATCAGAAGGTAAAACTGGTATTTCCCCAGCTATGGCAGAATTCCTTTCCTCTCATACAGACAAAAGAAAGCAGTTGGTTCACAAAATGGACGTGCTTGTAGAATCACCTATGGCACTTGACTTGATTCTAAACAAACAAAACTGCAGTAACAGGGTGCTAATGTCTCCGGCCAATCAGTCCTGCTCAGAAGAAAATGTTCTAATATATACAAAGCACTTTGCTTCTAACATAGCCAGGACTGCAGTGTGTATGAATGCTGATAGTGGTGACTTGGGAGATGCACTCTTGCATGACTTAGTTTTCTAAAGTATGTAACTATGGAGAGTGAAAGCCCAGGGTATTTAATTTTTGTCTAAATTTTAGTGAAGAGAGTTAAACAGACACTTAATCTGTTTAGAATACAATGATTTATCACCCATATTGATTAGGAGTGATAAGCAGTATTGAATTGCATAAACGGCACAAGGTAAATTGCTGGACCTTGGGGAGTTTTTTATAGTGATGCTATTTACCACCTTAGTTACTACTCTCAGATGTCGCAGATTGTGTAGGATGTACTGTCAACTGGGTAAATCAGGACAGGTTTTTCGAAACTATATCAAGTTGTAGTGTGGGAAAATGTGTTGCTTTATTTAGCAGCTCAAAGCCCTACAGTTCATTTAAAGATAAAAGTTTAGTATTAGACATTACTGCATGAGGGTGTGTAACTGTCTGCATTAATAGAGAGCCTACCCTACTGCAGAAATGACATTTCCAGATATGGAAATGGAAAGTTTGGCAGCTTTTCTAGCAAATTTCATGTGTGTGAATCTTAGTTCCCAAAATATTGAGCAGGGGTTGAGTACTGTAGAAGATATGTATAAATTTGTCTTTTATTGTATATTTACTTGTGTACTGGATAGAAGGGATGCCATCTGGAGTGACCTTGACAGGCTTGAGAGGTGGGACAGTACTAATCTCGTGAAGTTCAACAAGGCCAAGTGCAAGGTGCTGCACCTGGGTCAGGGCAGTCCTAAGCACAACAGGCTGGGTGGAGAATGGATTGGGAGCAGCCCTGAGGAGAAGGACTTGGGGATATTGGCTGACAAGAAGCTCAACATGAGCCGGCAGTGTGCTCTCACAGCCCAGAAAGCCAACTGTATCCTGGGATGCATCAGAAGCAGTGTGACCAGCTCGTTGAGGGAGGGGGTTCTGCCCCTCTACTCTGCTGCTCTTAAGAGACCCTGCCTGCAGTACTGTGTTCAGCTCTGAGGCCCCCAACACAAAAGGGACATGGACCTGTTGGAGCATGTCCAGAAGAGGGCCACAAAAATGGTCAGAGGGCTGGAGCATCTCTTCCATGACGATAGACTGAGAGAGTTGGACTTGTTCAGCCTGGAAAAGACAAGGCTCAGGGGAGGCCTTGTAGCAGCCTTCCAATACCTAAGAGGTCCTACAAGAAACCTGGAAAGGAACTTTTTACAAGGGCATGTAGTCACAGGATGAGGGAGAATGGCTTTAAACTGAAAGAGGGGAGACTTAGATTCTATATTAGGGAAAAATTCTTCACTGTGAGGCTGGTGAGGCACTGGCACAGGCTGCTCAGAGAAGCTGTGGTTGCCCCATCCCTGTCAGTGTTCAAGGCCAGGTTGGATAGGACTTTGAGCAACCTGGTCTAGTGGAAGGTTGGAACTAGATGATCTTTAAGGTTTCTTCCAACTCAAATCATTCTGTGATATGATTCTGATAGTCCATGTAGAAAACTACTGTAGGTTGTAAATTGCAGAACCATTTGAATTATGGTTCAGAAAACATGGTAACATCTTTTCAAAAGCTGTTGTTCAATATTGATTCTCTTTAATCTTTGTTATATTTTGATGTTTTGCAAATGATAAGAATATATTTTGCCACAGCAAAAAGCCAAGACATCGGTTTTAAATCTGGCAGAAAGCTTCAGGTGATTTTCTGGTCTCATCAGTTATGCTGCAAGAGATCCACAACTAAAGGATCACTGGGCGTTTGAACTTAAGTGGGGATCAACCTCTCAACAAAAAACCTCTCAATTTCCTTATTTATCACAGGAAAAGGCTTTTTCTTCCCCTCTTTTTAGATTTCCTTGATTAGTATCATGAAATCATGGGTTTATTTCAAATGATACATTAGTAAGTTGAATAGTGATTTGCACATCTGAACTGAAACGTTTCATTACTGCATCAAACTCAGATCTTAACTCTTACTCAGAAATCTTACCAATAGTTACTGCTTGAAAGAAAGGTTCAGATAGCTCCCAGCTGATAACAGCTCAACTAAAATGTTCCTGAGATACTTTAATAGGGATGCTATGAAATAATAAACTTTCAAGAAATCCATATGTAAAAGGTGTGCTGAGACACTACTTTTGAAGCTTGCTTGAAGTTCTGACCACTTTTTAGGTTTCCAAGCTTGATTAAAACTTTTTTTTTTCATTTGCAATATTTTTATGATTTTTTTTATTATATCTCCTTTTACCCTGGCCTGCCTGTGCTATATTCATTACCTATAGTGATCCCATTTCAGACTAACTTTGGAAAACAGAATTTTTACGTGTTTACCACACACATACACAAATATTTCTATTCCCAGAAAATTAGTCAACAAAGACATTAGAATCAAAGGAGCTCTTTATATTTAAAAATGCACTGAGATGAGCCTGGACCTAACCTATATGTGCGGAAGTGTAGTATGCACATTATTACTACATATGACTTCTTCAGTTATATTGGCACAATCTGCATTGAACACACACTGTGTGTGCAGATAGACAGACTACCAGTTCTATTCAGGTGCTTAGTTTACTAATGTTTTGCAATTTCTGCAACCTCAGGTAGCCTCATTTTTATTTCCCAGGAAGTCTTCTGTGCAAAAAGAATAGAGTAAAACCTTACATGCCCCCTGCCTGTATGGGTCTAGCCAGATTATGTACAGTATGCATGGCATACTTTCAAAAATCCCATTCCAGGTTCCAAAAATAACAAAATCAGCTTTAAAAACTTGTTTTGCATGTATATGGGCAAAGGAAAAGGAGGAGAAGGAGTTGGCATTCTGGATTTTCAGCTTTTTTGTGAAAGTAAAAATTGTATTATTAGACAAGAACAGAAAACTTTATCTGATCATACCAAAATAAGTATAGCAAGGAACTGTTATAATAATAATATGAATACATGTATGTATTTATATTTCAAAGCTTGTCATAAGATAGCAAACCCAAATTAGTATAAAATCATTTTACAACTTTTTAAGGGAAAAAAATGTGTAAATCTATACAGTGATGTCTCTTTAATGTATTCTAGTGATACCACCTCTCCTGGGGAAAAAGAAACCCAACAAAACACAAAAAAAAAAAAACAAAAAAGAAACCAGTGTCCAATTGCCTTATCTATATGTTCTGTTAGTGAGTCACTGGGAGTGAGGACAAGAAGGAAACAGTGAGTTTCCTCTAGTACCCCTGCCAGCTTCTGTCTCCCAGATCTTGATTCCATCCATGTTTTCTAAAGGTCTGGTGAGCAACAGGTGGGTTGACTGACTTCATTTGGATATGGAAAAGTGAAAAGCCATACCAAGCACAAGTAAGGATGAGTTGTGGTGAGAAGGCTCAGCCTGTGGGTGAGGGCAGTAGATTGGGGTCTTAACTTCAGACGCTGCACCATTGCTTTGGAGCAGTTGTATAAGCTAGGATTATGGGCATGCTTAAATTACTGTACACATACTTGTCCTGGTTTCACCTGGGACAGAGTTATTTTTCTTCCTAGTAGCTGGTACAGTGCTGTTTTGGCTTTAGTCTGAGAATAATGTTGACAACACACTGATGTTGTAGATATTGCTCAGTAGCACTTTGATCAAGGACTCTTCAGTCTCTCACGCTCTGCTAGTGAGGAGGGGCACAAGAAACTGGGAGGAAGCAGAAACAGGACACCTGACCGAGACTAGCCAAAGGGGTATTCCATACCAGAGCACATCATGCCCTGTATATAAACTGGGGGGAGTTACCTGGAAGAGACTGATCGCTGCTCGGGTTGGGCTGGGCATTGGTCAGTGAGTGGTGAGAAATTACTATACCCATAGTTATATTGTATAAGCTAAGATTACTAGAAAAAAGATATAATTGTATAGAACAAATACACAAGTAATTGTATATAAAGATTGCCATGTGCAATATACCTGTCACAGTCCAGTCTTACTGTGAAGTGTAAAAAACTGATGAAGGCTATAAAATCATAAGGCAGAGCAATTGATGCTTAAGCAGGTTTATCTTTAAAGACACATTTGTTAACAGGAATCATAATTATCAATTAGAGACTTTATTGGAAACTCAAACTAGCATCCTCATGATTTATGAGAAAGGCTAATGTAGAATTCATCCTTAAAAAGCAGAGGAATGGCAGAATCTTGTTAGTAGTGTAATTTCTACAGTATAGAATCATTAAGAAATTATTTCCCATAGTCTAAATCCAGCCAAACATGGGTGATTCTCCAGCTGGCAATCAGTGCTTACACCTGTTGACACACTGCAAAGACCGCTGTTAGGCAGCACCCAGGTTTTGAAGCTCCTTTGGAAAAAGGTGAGGCACTGGTTTACGAAAGTTTGCTGAAGAGGATAGAAGCAAAACCTCTGCTCTTGTATCTGAGGCTGGCAGGGAGGGATGGGATGAGCAGGAGAAGTTCTCTCCTGATGAAAAAAAGCCTTCATTTTTGTATGAGAATGGCAAACTTGATGTTATCTGCTTTCTCCCTTCTCCATTTATTTCTGGTCTCTACTCAGAACCCAGGACAAAAGAACTCCACCTTATAAAAGACACAATTTTAAGCCAGTTAGCACATTTTGGGAGACACAGGATTTTAAATGCTTGAATCCAGGTAGCCATAAAATTCAGCACTGCAACAGCACAATGTTTATTTCAGTATAGCACATGTGCTTTTCCAGGATTTCTCTTAAAAACGCAGCTTTACTATTTTTTACTGCAGTCCATATTTTAGACTTTGGATGTGTGATGATTTTGATGCTTTGAAAATGAAGGCAGAACATTTAAACATTTCTGACTTTGCTTTAGTCTTCTCTGAAGCATTGGGATACTGCAGTTGATTAAATTTTATTCATTTAGAAAAAGTCCAAAATTATTATTTGGTTTGGCTTTTTTACCTAATAAAACATTCTAATGCTATTTTTAATTGTTGTGGTTACTGTTTAGCATTTCCCTGGTGACTGTTAATTCTCAGAAGGTTATTTTCTGTATTTTCCTGACAGCTGAATTTGAGTCAGTCCATACATAGCAGACAGTACACTGTAGTGGAAAGATCACTTTGTTCCATTTTTCTCCTGTGTTTTGGAGCTAGTCAGTAGAAATCATCAGTGTGCAGGTCGTCTTTCTGAAAGAGTCAGGGAGACACTTCTGAAAGGATTTTCTCTTCTTCTCGCTGATGAGCACATGGAGATTTTTTTCTTTCTCTGTCACTGAACTGGTGCGTATTATCCCTGGCACATGTTCCATAGTATCACTGCTTCTGAAGTGGAGTCCTTTCCCAGTTTCACTGTATTTCTTTCCAGGGTTTCTTTGATAAGAACATGTGAATAGTGGGTTAATCTTGTACACTAACCAGCTGCTCTTAGGTGGATTGTCAATTTGCACAACTCAATGTGCACATGCAAGTCAATTTGCACATGCAATTTTCACATGCATAGAAAGTCCAATACATTTTCAAAGCATTACACTGCACACGTGCTGTAGATTTGGTTTGCCTGTCCCTAGTGAGCATTTGTCCAGTACATTTGTATATCCAACAGCAACTGGTACTGCTCCAGCTGGATTGCTGCATGTCTGGGATTCTTGGGTAGGTTATTCTTAGTTTTCAAAGTCTGTCAGAGAATCTTCCCAGGAGGAAGATCTAAGGGAATATTTCACCATCAGGTTGACAAAACCTTGATGATGTTTCCTGGGGTTCGTATATTACAGAGTAGTATGATTTAAAAAGCTTAATGTTTTGCCATGCTGTGCTTTGTTCTGTTTTTAATTTTTCTGTAGTGTACATAAGAGTGGAAAAAAGGATGGACTGTTCAAAGAAAATCTTTTGTTACGTGGATGTACCATTAGAAATACAGAAGAGGTTGCAGGAATAGTAATCTATGCAGGTAAAAGCTGGTTTTCTGTCTGATGAGACATACCACCTTTTTATAGTTTCCTTAAAATAATAATAAAAATCCATATGACATCATCTGATGTAATTACTTCTGCAGGGCACGAGACCAAAGCTTTGTTAAACAATAATGGACCCCGTTACAAACGCAGTAAACTTGAAAGACAGATGAACGCCGATGTCCTTTGGTGTGTCCTAATACTTCTAATCATGTGTCTGTTTTCTGCCATTGGTAAGTGCTCTTTAAAGCTAGAAACTTAGGTATCAGGCTCTTTTGGGATTCATGTACTTTGTTTCATCAAAAACATATGTGTTTGCAAAAATGTGAAATACATAAATCTGCCTCCATATTGTCTTCATTTTTGTTGTTTTTCTTCTCTGAAATCAAAATGTCTTGATGTATAAGCTCATCTAAGTAGCTTCTTAGTATCAATCAAATACATGTTATTAGTACCAGAGGTCTGAAAGTTTAAATTCTACAACTCTTGATAGCATCCAAAAGAAGCCACTTTATATGTAGTCCTCTCAAAATTACAGGTGATAGAGTATAACACGCCATTACTCAGTCAACAACGTAATTCATGAGCAGAGAATAAACATAATTAGCACAGTGCAATTCCACAGTACTATTTATTAAATCAAGGGCACAGTGCACAACATTGACACACTGTCTCTAAACTGCAGCTGAAACCTAAAAGAACTAAATAAAAGTCTAAACCTGTAAAAACCAAGTAGAAGACTCTCTAGACTTCATGGAGTGTCTAAGGAAAACTAAGGTTCACATTAATATTCTTCAAGCCTTTTTTCTGTTCATTTGTGAGAAAGAATTTTTACCTTTGGCACCTACAATTATTCTTTACACATGGCATATGAATTCCATATCCTTAATGTTTGTATGTTCTGTAATGTTTGTGTGTGAGTCATATGGCATAAACACCAGAATGTTTCCTAACAACCGTGGTGTAGTTTAATAACAATCTTATGGCATTTTAATACATTTCTGTGTGCCTTTTTCCAGGTATTGTTAAATGCTGCTTAAAGATGAGTATTTCCAGCTGTGAATCAGCCAGCCAATTTGTTTCCACTGAGTTCATGACAGTCTTTTGTAGTGTCTCAGTGTTGGGGGAGCCCAGTCCTCAGGACTCAAGTGCCATTGTAGGTTAATGGCAAGGAGTCACGCCTACAGCTGTCCCCTCTGCACCCGAGGTATTGCCCCCATAGCAGTGGCAGCAGGGTGCATGCTGCAGTGGCTTTGGTTTAGCTGAAACTCCTGATTTGCATGAATGTGAATGGGAGACAGGCACAGAGCAGGTAACACAAACACCTTCACCTCTGTCATTTCTGCCACAAGGCTAGAAACCTCCAGCAGAAGGCCAGAGCAAACTGCTGGAGGTGCTAACAACCAAACACAGCTGGAAAGAAATGTGCTTTTTGAAAACAGAGATGCCTAGTGCTTCAAGATATACAAAGCTATGTCCTGTGAGAGTCAGGCACTTCACGTACCTTCTGTCAAGAAAGTGTGAGTGGAGATATGACACTTAACTAATTATTTTGAAAATCTGTGTCAGGGTATTTATGCAAGAAGTCTCAATATAGGACCTTGTCAGTGTGGGGTTTCCAATATTTGCTCTCAAGAATAAAAATATAGACATCAATATAGGCATCAGTATGGCAATACTGGTAGTACAGAGGCAAAATAAGTTGCTTACATGGCTTACTTATTGTTATTATTTTTCAAGAGTTCAATGCTGGGTTTATGTATCAAGATGTAAAAGACCTTGTCAGGTGTGACTTACAAAAGATTACTTTTAAAGTAGACCTTCATCCTTTTTGTCAATTTTCAAAATGCAGTGAAAATAGCTTGAATGCTTCTTATCATGTGTGGGAATTCTTTGTTTTTAGTCTTAAAAACATCAGGCATACCATTTTTAGGTCTTTTAAGACTGCAAATCCTAGTGCTGTACTTAAAAAGGCAGCTTTCTGTCTCCTTAAGAATGCTACTTTCCCAAAATAATGGTAACAAGAGTAATCGTATCTTTATTTGGTTATCAGCACAATCAATAAAAAACAAAGTTTTGAGCAAGGATTAGGATTTCTTCTGGTTTTAGTTCCTCAGCTTCCATGCTGTTGAGTCTGCTGATGCTGTTATTTCAGTAGTTCTCTAAACATGGTAAGATTCACACGGTAACGTTAAAGTCCATCCTGCCTTTACCCATCTGAAACTAGTTTAGTAATAATTGGCTGGTGTTATACTTAGTGCAGGCAATGGAGTTCTTTCATTTTAACAAATTGAATATCACTGAAATGATTTACCTTCTGAAGTTTAGTTTTCTCTGCTGATTAGAGAAAGAGCTTAAACTACTAATTTAGACTAGTCAGCTCACTTTATTTGGATAAACTTATGTGAAATGACTCTCGGATTCTGTCTGTAAGGCCAGGCAAACCCCTTTCTTAAACTCCAAATCCCAAGGCAGAAAAAAAATGAGTTTGGGTCCTTTTTCAAAAGTCATGCAGAGTAGTTGAAAACAAATACCATTTATTCACATAACTCTAAGAACAAATTCATACCATAAGCATTGGTGTTAATTTTTCTTTCTTTCCAACTCTTCTGCAGGTCACGGCCTATGGGTATGGCAATATGGTGAAAAGAAGAAACCAGTTTTTGATGTTCCAGGGCCTGATGGCAAATACTTGTCCCCTGTTTTAGCTTCAGTATATTTATTTCTGACAGTGATCATAGTTTTCCAGGTAATCAAGTTGTGCATGTTGTCATCTCTGTTCATAGTTTTCTGTAATAAAGCTATAAATGCATGTATAGTACCGTTTCTACCACTAAGGCGTGTAATCTAAGGCACTAAGCTAATCAAGCACTAAAACCAAGTACATCTAGCCACTTTAAAATTATATTTTAACTGTAGGGAATGTGATAATATATAACCAGAAAGCTAAATTAAATAACAGTAGTGGTCTACCCAGGGGTAAAATGATAACTTCTCTGAAGAATAACCAAACTGGTAGATACAGTAAGCTGTCAGAGTTACCTTGGCATCTGAGAAGATAATTATCTGAGAACCCTCCCCAAAAGACTCGGGTATTTTGTTTTATTTTAAACAAGTAGGAGGAGATAGAATGCAATGGGCTCTGTTTGGAGAATACAGGCATTATGCCTCATATCCACCCACTGTGGAACAGCATCTCAAAGACTGTGGGTGCCACTTTGTGTACAGTGTGCTGATATGAACATAGGTTGTGTGCATTTTTTACCACTTTCCAAATAGACAGCTCTTAATTTTGTAGCTCAACTACATAGCAAATCCTGATAGAAGTTCTTTGGTTCTGGATAGAAATGTGTTCAGTTGCGAAGGTTGCGATACACTAAGAGAGATAACAGAGACTCATGTCACTGGGACATATGGACATATGCCCAGGGGGACACTAGAGGAGACTGCATTACTCGGGGAGCAGCTCCTTTATAGAAAGGAATGGAAAAAGGATATTAAATTACTTTTTACTCTAAGGTCCAATAATATGATATTTGCTAAAACGTATCACCACAAAATTCCTTAAATGCCAACCTTTAACTGTAGGTTTTGTTTAAATAGACACATTTGTCACTTACAGCTACACACATGCTGTAACTTATCCCTCATATCTAATTCAGCAAGCTAAATAATGTATGCAATCAGGAATTTCTGTCATGAAAAACATCTGCAGAGAAAAACTGAGGTACACATGAGGTATTTCATGGAGTTTTGACAGTCCTCAGGAAGCAGTTGAAAATCTTTTCTGGTGCAACTTCTTCTCACATCTCCTTCTTCAGCAATTACAGAATGTGTTCTTCATTCACATTGTCTGCCTTGCCAAAGCCAAGGCCAAAAGCATCATTCCTGTGGAGAGATTAACACTTCTCATTTTGTTTCTTGTATTCCTGCAAGGTTGATTTGTAAACAGTCTATTACTTACGCTTATCCAATTCTTTCACATTTATAGGATTCTCACTGTAGTGTCTGTTTTAGATTGGGTTTTGTTGTGTTTTTTTTCTTTTCCTTTCCCAGCTAGTTTCAAGATAGCCTTATTACCACTAAAAAGGATTTGCTTCTGTCCAAGTTTTGATAATTGCCCTTCTGGACATAGTAATGCATTTCAGCTCTGCAATTCCCTATAGGCTTTCCTCATATAACAAAGTAAATAAACTCTTCTCAAACATGATAATAACTTTACAATAGATGCTTAATGTACCTAGCCTCTTTATGTCCTAGTCTAGTACCAAGTTAACTAGATTTTACTAATTTGTTGTATCTTGCTTCTTTTTTTTTCTCCCAATTCTCTTTCTTTTTGTGTATTATAGGTTATGATTCCGATTTCTTTGTATGTATCCATTGAAATAGTTAAAATCTGCCAAGTGTACTTCATTCATCAAGATAAAGATTTATATGATGAAGAAACAGACACGCAGCTGCAGTGCCGAGCTTTAAATATCACAGAAGACTTAGGTCAGGTGCAGTTTATCTTTTCAGACAAGACTGGGACACTTACTGAAAACAAGATGGTTTTCCGAAGATGCACTGTTTCTGGAATAGAGTATTCCCATGATGATAATGGTGAGCTCATGATCTTGTTTTCTATCTAATATTTACACTTTGGGTAATCTGAGGTAGATATAAAAATTACTGTAATCTTAAATCCAAAAGAGAAACAAAAGAAATTGCATGTATCCACTCAGCAAACTGTAATAGCTGTTTTTAGGTTAGTGTAATTTGATGGCTGTGTTTCAGGTAGTGATGACAATCTTATCAAAGTGTTCTGTAACTTCTGCAATATGTTGTCAAGGTAGTTAAAGCTTCTGTCTTTATCTCCTAAAGTGCTTGTGCACATGGCTGATTATGTGATTTGAATGGTCCTGCTGGTATCACGGTTGTTTGGGGTCTTTAAAGTATACTATGTAAAATGCCAGTTTTAAGCATACAGCTATATTAGTGTCTGATTGAATACCTGGAATGAGATTATCCTTTTGTGCTGAGAAATAAATGTAAAAAAAATCTACTGGTTTTCATATTAACAGGAAACATAATCTGATGGGGTAAGCATATTTTATGTTACCTTTGTCAGATTCTTTTCAGTGCTACATAACAGGTGTCTGTGTTAAGGTACCATCACTGCTGTATGAAAACTGCAGTTGAGAGAATGTCCCCAAGTATCAGGTTCTTGAAACACTAAGAAGTTACTCTTTGTCACAAGGGAATGTGAGGCTTGTCATCCATGTGTCATCTCATCAGCCTTTTAAATTTATGAAGTTATTTCCTGTTTTGTGATTTGTTTATAATTTGTTATTTTCCTCTAACATTTTGTTGTTACCATTTTTGACATAACTGATCTTAATTCCTCAAATCATACTCTGTATGCCAGAAAATATTAATAGATGCATCATTGCATTCCTGTTTGCAAAAAATAAGTTTCCTAATCTACATAATGTATAAAGATCACTGATTAGAAAGTTTTCTCAAAGACCATTGCAGAAGTTCAGCTTACAAATAATATACAGAATGAGTAATCAAAAGGGACCAGAAAACCTAAAACATGTTTTAGAGGGTTCTTAAGATAGCAGATAGGAAAAAGATGTCTTGAAATTTTGGGTAATGCAAATATTGTTCTTTTTTTCTCCTACTGTAAAGTAGTACTGAGACCTTACATTTAAGGCACTGGTTTTCAGGAAACTAGATGTTTGGGTTAGTGTTATTATTACAGAGTTACAGAAGGAACTTAAACAGGAACAAACTGGGTTCCTACCTCTGTACTGTAGGTAAGAAAGAGAAAAGAATTAGAATTAATAGTATGTTTCTGGACTCTGTAACTCTGCTTGTGACACTCTGGTTATTCATTCTTTTTTTTCCTTGCCACTAATCATTTGCTTGTTTATACTAATTTCAGAGTGTACTCCGTTCCTTGCAGGAATGACAATGGTACTGCCAACTAAAACAGTGCAGAAAGGTTATTTTTATGAGCTCAGTATCATCAGCTAATATGTAGGCTGAATTCAGGCTCCTGAATTTGAGTATTGAGTTTCAGAACCTTTTTCTTCAACAGAAATCTAAGTTTGTTTGTACTTTCATCTTACAATCTCAGAATACAATGTAAATGTTAATGAAAGAAGAGTGAATTTCATTAGAAACCGACATGTCAAATAAATACATAAAATAAACAGATTTTTTTTTTTTTTTTGGTCATTCTTCTCATGTATGGCTATGTTTGGGCTTTCTTGTAACTCCAGTCAGTATAAAATTCCTGACAAATAGTTTTTAAATGGGTGCAGAATATATGCACAATATTATATACAAAGTATTTTAGTCTGTTTATTGTCCTGTACAGAAAATAGGCATTTCTCTGTCATTCTATATATAAATTATGATATTCTATTGATTTTGTTCCCTAAAATTAGGATTAATAACACAGTGAAAAGTCTTCTTTGTTCAAGTCTTTTGTTAGCTCTGTTCTCCAGTCTGATTTTCTAACCATCTTTGCTGCGCCGAAGCTTTCTTGTTTAGGTGTGATAAAATGTCTGTCACAGCTCTCTCTGGTTTTAGGGAGTGCATTAATGACATTTATTGGTTGTGCACTTACTTTCAAATGATTTGTCAGCTACTTTTCTATGTCTTGTACCTCAGTATCTGAATTTGCCCCAGGTTTAGGGCATATGTTATAACTGATGCCATCCTGGTCTCAGGTTTTGCTGAAGTTTTCATATATTAGAAAATTCTATAATCTTTCATTTGGCAAGTGATCTGAGGCTGCCATATATGTAAGGAAACCGAGAAAATTCATCTGCCTTTTCTTATATAAGATCATCTTTGCTACGATGATCTTTCTTCGTTTATCTGAGTAATTTTTCTGGCATAGTTGTTTGCTACTTGGAATCAAATTCTGAGTAGCACTTTAGATGAAGAAGTGAATTTTAAATTGTACATGGGTCAAGATTCAAAAGCTAAAGATAACAGGTCATTTTCTACTGTAAAAACAGATCGCTCAGGGTAGAAATATTATTATTCTGAGTAATTTGGCCTAAGTTTGTTACTCTGCTGCGGCTGGTAGCAGTGCCTGTTGTTCCAGTTGCCTGACCCTTCTCTTTATAAGATCCTATTTTCAGTTATGGATAAGCTTAAAAGCCTTAAATATTTGGTTCATGTTTTCCATGCCAGATGTTTGCCTCAGGCATGAATTCTGGGGGCGAAATTTCAGTCAGAACATCTTCATTCACCCATATCCAAGAACAAGGCTAAGATGTAACACACTTTTTTCTCATGCTAAGAAGTTCTGGCAGATTTTCCTCTGAAGTCATCTAGAAGCCCTGTATTCCTGGGGCTCAGCCATGCACACACACAGAGGGGAAAGTTACACCTACAATGGCAGAGAGAGATCTGAAATTTCCTCACTTTGGAACTTTAATTTTCTGTTGAACCATTGTTTTCTTCATAATGTAGGACTCCTGCGTATCTGTCAATAGATTGTGCATAGCTGTCACAGATTTTCTCTATGGTGCATTATAATCTTTTCTCCCTAAAATTTGTTCACATGTATGAACAGGTATCCCATTCTTTTCAATTCTACAGGCATTGTTGTACTGCATTTGTCATCATCTTATCTGAGTTCCTTCCACTAGCTCATTAAGCAATGCGTGTGACTCTTTGCTTATGTAGCTTGGTCTTTCCCCTTCTTCCTCTCCCTGTGCAGAGCACGGTTTGTTTCAGACTGGGGCTATTTAAAAGGCATACAGGATGCTGTATGGCATATTTAAGACAGCATGTCTTTTTCTTGAGTGGTGGGAGCGTCCTTATTTTCTTTGGAAATTCATTCCATAAAGCCATGTGAATTCCCCATGTGAAAAGTGAGCTTTATGATTATGAGGGAGAGTTCTGTTTTGCATCAGACATGGACATGCTAATCATGGTTTTCATCACAGAGGTTTATTTGGACCTTATGCAGGGTTGAAGCAATTAAATGCTTGTAAAATAAAAACTGAAACCCTGAGCAAGACTTAGTACTTTTTTTTTTCCAGATAATAGAGAGAACAAGGGGCAGATTTCATGAATTTGCTGGAGGAAACATTTTCCTCCAGAATTCCCTGTTTCTTATGAAGCTAATGGCACTGTGCCCAGGAGTATTGCATTGTTTTAGTCTAGACAAGAGGTGACAAAAACATGAGTAATAGAGGCCAATAAATTGCACCAGCATGGGACAAAAGCATTTTGCCAACTGGAGGGAGTACAAGGTATTGCTCATGGGTACTGCTATGTGAGAGCTTAGCACCAAAGAGGAATCCAGGAATGCTTGTGAAGGCTGTGAGGAAAAGTGTAAGTGTACTGAGCAACAGTTCCATGATGTAAGGTTTATCCAGTATTCATCATTGTTGAGGTCATCTATGATGTTTTGGCAATGAATTATACACTAGCTGGGATCAAACTACATGAATTCACGCTGCCCATTTAGGTCCTGCGGGGACTAAGTTGATAGGGATGGGATTCTTTTTAAGTAATTGTGGATATTTGCATGGAATATAGTTATCTTGTGACTTTACAGTTACTGGAGAAAACTAACCATTTTTGGGATGTAATTCATCAGAACTGTTTTAGACATCTACATGTCTTGTCAAATATGTGCCTATTTCTCTGTGGTTTAGAATTCTAACTAGAGGTGAAAAGGATTCCCACCTCAAGTCTGCATGGCCCGTGTTCTTAAGTCTGTTTTGTTGTCTTCTTCAAAGGTTCTTCTTGATACGTGAAGTGTTAATTAAGGAGCAGGGTATTATCATGAAGCACTCCAAGTGGAAGTGCCTTATCCCGCTTGTAAATGTCCTGGATATTTATGGAATAACCATTGGCACTATACACTGATTAAATCCCAGAATTATTCTTCCAATCAGTAATTCCTCCTAGCCAAAAAGAACGTTAGCACCCAAAAAAAAAAAAAAAAAAAATTGTTTCTCTCTATATATGTCAAACCCAGGACAATGTACGATAAAGTTGCCATAGCGTAGCTCTTCCCTGGCTAGTAGCCAACTCCTAACAGTTCTTGGAACTGGCCATGTCCTCAGCCTGTCTGCTGAAACAAGAGATAGTAGGTGCGCAAAAGCTGACTGTGCTTCTGAAAGTCATTATATGATTTAGAGACAACCAGATGCTCTTGGCATGACATCTGTCCTAGTTGTTTTCCAAATGCTGGATTAGTTGCACTCTTGCCTATGGGGTGTGATATCTCTTTTTCTAGTTTTAGCCACCCATTGTATGGAACTTTTGACAAAACATGAGCTGAATCTCCATGGATGCAACCACACAAGTCTGAAAAATCTGAATTTTGGATACTTTGCATTCTTTCTCCTTCCTTCCAATGACTGAAAAAATCTCCAGACAACATAAGAATAAGATAAATTTATGGGGGTGAAGGCAGATGATGAAAAATTCAGTGATTTTTCTCTTCCCCAGCAAAGTTTCTTAATCATTTAATGTGGGAAAGAAGGAGTTTCTTTCTGGGTTTTTTTGGTTTTTTTTTTCCAGAAGATTGGCTAACAACTACTTGTCATAGGAAAGTGCATCATAGTAAAAAAAATCTCCTTAGTTTGAGGGGCTGTTTTGTAGTGGAACTTTCTTACTCTTTTTGTGTGTATTCAAGAGAACTTAGACTGCACATTCCAGCCATGCTGGAGAATTGGATTTATTTAAAAAATAAATTAATGAAACCTTTTCTGTACATGCAGCTGTTGATTCCCAAAGCTCTTCTCATCTGCCACCTTTTCAACTTGACAATCTTCAGAAACGGGGATAGTCCACTTAGACCTTCCCCGGAAAGATTAAAACCTTTAGCAGAACTAGGTGCTTCAGACACTCTGTAGCTTGTTTGTGGTTTCTCTTTACATTTGTTATTGCTTTTTGAAAAAACTGAATTGGTAACTTTAAGGAAAGAACCAGTGCCAGAAGATGTAGAACTCAGTACACTGGGAGAGACCCATTTTAAGTCCTACAAAAGACAAACTCATATTTAGAGACAGGTGATACTTTTTCTAAACATACACCTACACTTAAAATTGCTCTGGAAAATCTCCAGAACTGTTTGAAAATGGCATCCATTTCTAAGTGAGTAAAGAGGTCTTAATGAAGGACTTAAAGTTTTTTTTTGTAAGCCCTTGAGGATGCCAGGGGGGGAGAGGAAGGAAAACCTTGGGGGTTTTCTAATCTCAAGACTTGTCCTTATGGGGAAGTTCTTGCAAAGTAAATAAAGTTAGAATTATGTTAGCACACTTGTACAAATTTATAGTATGCTAGTTGCTTGACTGATTCTTTATGTAGATGCTAGAGTGCACTTCAAAGTGAAATAAGCTTGCACTCATAAAATAATAAGGAAATAAGGTGGTGTGAGTAAGTACACATCTAGATTTACAGCAAGACAGTTCAGTAACAACCTTATTCAGTGGTTTGGGGAAAATGAAATTATTCCATGGTGAAGTCAGGGCCCTACACACTGGCTGCTGGTTTAGGGGGTCTGCAGCTTTATTCTGCTTGAAGGGAAGTTCGTTAGAGTTTTGTGATCCGTCTTTTCTAGCTGGTGGAACATCTGGCTGTGTGGCAACAGTCTCCATCAGCCTGCAAAATGGATGCCTCATCGTAGAACATGGACCATAGAACATTCCCTGCCCATGGCAGGGGAGTTGGAACTAGATGATCTTAAGGTCCTTTCCAGCCCTAACTGTTCTATGATTCTATGGAAGGTGAAAAAAAAGCAAAAACAAAATAATGAAAATAAAAGGGCTTTTAAAATAAGAGAATGCATATTCAAATACTTAGCAGCTACTACAGGAGTTTTATTTATAGCTTACTGTTGTCTTCTGAAAGATAGAAGTGAGTTCATGGAATAAGTATTAATTGTTTCTTCTTTGCGTTGTAAATATAAAACGAAGTACAGAATAGTGAAATTTGACTTTCATGAATTGCATTGCTGTGTTTCTCAAAGTTGTTTGTGTCTTTGCCCTTAATAAAAAACTGTCTATCAGACAAAAGATCAAAGCCATCAGTTTTCAGTCCTGAAACTGAAAAGCATCCCACAACACGTCTTCCAGGTTATAATGTTCACAGGAAAAGGTTCTGAATCGGAGAGGGCTGAGTGGGTGGAGAGAACAGCATGTTCCCAAAGAAGCACACTTTGCACAGCTGAAGCATTATGAACCTTAGCCATAACATAACAATTGAACCGGGTTTCATTATTTCTTCATACTTCTTAATGCTGCATAATGTGTAAGGCTGTGCTGGAGAAAACGTTGAAAGGTGCAAGGCCTGGTTTTTATTGTTAAGCTTACCTTGGTATAAACTGAAATAAACCCATTTGTATTGAAGGAGTTTCATTTGACTTGGGTTAAATGAGATTCTAGTCTCTTATCTGCTTTCCCTGTTTCTCCTTTTTCTTAGCAGCAGGAACAATTAAACAAATGTGTTACAATGAAAACCTGTAAAGAGAGCAAGAGATAGCTAATATTACATAGGCTAGAAGGGAACTGGAATAATGCTAATACATAAGCTAAGTTTTGCATTAGGAAACAGTTTTTGCTATGTTGAATAATCAAAATTTTTTTTAAAGTAATGTAATAAAGAAGAAAGAGCAATGAAGAATACAGAGCTATAGTATGCAAGCATAACTGTTGTGCAGCAGATGTATTGTCTGCTTAACCGTAGAGTTTATATACATGTCATAAAATTATAGTCAGTTCAGGGTCTTTGGATTCATGTATTTCAAGATGTATTTTCAGAGCAGAAGCTTAAATTAGGTATAATTACTAAGGAAAATGCGTCGTTTTTAAAAAAAAAGAAACCTGTGCTCGAGAGGGAGTTGGACCAACTGGGTAGCACATTTTGCAAAGCTGAAAAGAATAATTGTGCCCTGTCCTTCCCATGTCAAGGAATACTACCTGTTGCAAGAAGTGCAGTGTTCTGTCAGTCAACCATTAAGATGTCCAGCAGCCACAGTGAGGAAGATTATCCCTATGGCAAATCCAGGCTTTTCTTATGGCTTTCCTGGGAGAGGCTGAGCAGCTACATGTCACACTGGGATGCTGGGGGGAACAGTGAGCAGCCTGGATCGCATCCTCATCAAGGACCTGAATTAGTGCCTTTAACATGCTGCAGATCACTTTGGGCCCTTAGTGTAGAATCCTGATATGGACACACCTATCATGAATTAAATTCACAGTATAGGGATCTGCACTTCCACTGGGAAAACACATAGCAGCTTACAGAGTAGAAGCAAGTGGGAATTAGTGGGCAAAAGTGATGAGGCAGGTTAGAACTGCTCTGTCCCAAAGCATGTGCAACAAGTTGCAGGAAGCAGGCTGTGCAGCTGAAGTGAGCTTTCTTTCCTTGCAACTCATTACCATGCAACAGAAGGGCCAAGGAGATCGATGACCTCCCTAATTTTTGAGCTGTCCTCTAGGTTCTGTCACGTGAGTAAAGGACAAGGTAGGCGCTGAAAGGAGCAGGCAATGGTGCTTTGCTTTTCTATTTTCAGCTCTGTGGCTGTAGGAGCAGCTGCTCCCACAGTGCTGAATGTGCCATTGCTCAACCTCTTTCCCACCACAAAGCCTGAGTCACACCAAAGAATGCTAATGAGGGAAGTCCTCAATCATCTGCAGTTAGTCTACATCAGCTTCAGGGCTCAGGCTGCAGGGCTGGTTTTGAGCTATGGAGCAGAAGTGATCTGCAGTGTGCCCTGCATTCTCTTCCCCATGTCTCCACATGCACCATGTCCCTTTCTACCTCCATGGCCTGCATCTTCTTCCAGCAGGAGCCAGAGTGCAGTGTAGGATGTTGCATACCTGGGCATGCAGTTAGAGCAACAACCATTCGCGTTGTTGGTTGCATTCACAGCAGGACTGGGAAGTTCTCCCAGCTCTGACATTTCAGACAGAGCCTATACGTGTTCCAAATGGAGTTGAAAAAACCTCTAATGTATGATACTGTGCTAATAGAGCTATCATCATGTGCTGTGTGTGGTCTGATTTCAACTCCTCCAGCTGCTTCCTGACAGCTAAAACATGTTTGAAAATTGCAGTGGATGGCAAGGATGGATTTTTGTTTGATCATAAAGCTAGCTACGTTAGCAGTGATCCCATGCCAAACTCACTATATGTAATGCAAGATTTTTTTTCAGGAAGTTTTTTGGAAGATTCTTTTGTTGGTGTTCATTAAATGCTTGAATAATTAACTCACATAATTAACTTACAGTGATTTGTCATTTGACATTGGGATAATCTTAATTTGTTACACCAGAGAACCAAAACAGAGTTGAGCCACAAGTATGTAACTTGTGCTGTATAAATGGATAGTGTGTATTATTTTGAGGGTATAATGAAAAGCAATGAATACCTAATTAAGAAATAAATAGGTACCTGTTAGAGTGGCATGCCTAATGAACAACCCACATTATTAAATGCCCATAGTCTTTAGGAATGGGAAAAATATGTCCTACATCAGTTAGACCTAAGCAGAGCCTGTCATTAGAGGGACTGGTTTCCACGGCAGTTTCACACCTCTTCTTTCTGCTTCCTTTTTAACTTCTATGTATCAAACTGCCAGGATTGGTTTCTAATATCAATTGTCGTAATTGAATTCTTGACTGAGGAAGCATTCACCTCAAATATATCAATCAGAAAACACTCTTTCATTCTATGTAAACTAGGTATTGCTCACTGTAGCAAATAGGGATAGAAACAAGTGTTGCAGCAAGGCTAAGCTACCCTGGTTTTCATACTGCATGCTGCAATGTCCTGCCTATCATGCTGTCCAGAGAGGAGGGCGGAGACTCCAGAGTGGTTTTAACCCTAGGCTAGGAGTCAAGGGTTCATGTCTCCACTCTGCAGCAGATGGCCCTGACCTTGAGTGAGTCTTTTATGCTGTCTGCCTCATCTCTGTATATAGAATAAGGGCAATAGTGCGCTGGAGGCGTGTTGTTCTGAGGACATTTCAGATGTCAGTTAACTGGTACTGGGTAGATGCGACATTTTTGCTGGTAAATACTTTCTGTGAAATTTACATTTTATGTTGGAAAGGACATGAAAATTTTCTTAGTTGTTTATTTCCTTCTCTGACTGCAAGTGAAGACCAAATTATTTGGTTGATTTCATCAGGCTGAGCTGTGGAATAGTCAGGAATGCAGTGAGTTATTGCAGAGTCTAACTCCCTTTCAGAGAGAGTGTGATGATGAGAGAGGCAGTGTATTGCTTTATGCTTCTAATTATGTTATCTGAATCTATTGTTAGATACTACCATTCAATTAAGAGACTTCGGTATCTCTTGATAATGAAATCATTCATTATTACTGTGAAAGCACAGTATAATATTAAAAACAGGTCACTTGAACAAAGTCATCATGCCCTTCTCCCTCTTTCTCAGCCACATTTAACATATACCACTTCTTCCTTCTATATTTTTACTGATAGCCAAACGCTTAGCGATGTACCAAGAACCTGATTCTGAGGAAGACGAGGCAGCCCCAAAAGGAGGAACTCTATCCCAGCGTGATAGTATCTGCAGCCATCAGAGCATTAAAGTAATACACAGAAGCCAGAGCAACAAAACCCACCGGCGCACGGGTAGCAGAGCTGAAGCAAAAAGAGCAAGCATCCTTTCAAAGCACACTGCATTCAGTAGCCCAATGGTAAGTCAACTGTAAAGCACAGTGTCATGTTATCTTTTGATAGACCATGTCCTGAAAACCGGAAGGTAAAGACATCTGTAGCACATTGTGTACCTCTTGCAGACGTCTTCTTGGCATTTTTTATTCTGTAGTGACAGATGTTTCTACAAAAGCAGTGAAGTGTCGACATAGATCTTACCAAAATGTCTCCTTTGTGGAAATGAGCTAAAGATAAAAAACAATCTGAAACCTTTGTTTGAGTTATACCTTGATTTTGAAAAGAAAACGTATGCCTTCCCTTTATCTACAGAAGCTGAGAGTAGCATCAGGTTTGAGGTCAGGGATTCTAATTGACCTGCACATGCCTTTTCTCTTTTGTCAGAGGATTTTAAAACTAAGAAGTGCTGGGCTGGACACTATGTATTCCAATTCTTAGATACTGCTGACCATAGCATAATTTTTAGTGTGATTCAAGGTTATCAGTGGATTGCATGTGTCATATTTTAAAAAGTAAAAACCTTTACATTTCAGAATGTTGATGAATTTGTCCTTAAAAGTTTGCATTATTAAATTTCTTTTATGCTGTTGTTACTCTGTGAAGTTTTACATGGGCTGAATGGTCATAAGACTAGAGAAGCCATGGTGTGTCTGTCTAGGGATTTTGCATTGTTTCACTGTTGACACAAATTCACCCTTAAAACAAATTACAAATACAGACACAGAATGATGCTGTTTGTAGTGGTGGAACTGCTTCAGTTCAATCAAGAGTAAGCTTTTCAAGCTTCAGTTTTTACACACAGAGTTCTGTGGTTGCACAGATTCATCAGCTGGTGAGCATCAGCAGATAAAATTCTGCTGAAGAAAGAGCCTTACATTGGTTTTTCTTGTCATCTTTTTTATCCTTGTGTCCTTCTATATTAAGAAATACTGGAGTCTGCTCTGACAAGAAATAGATTTAATAAGTGAAACGTGTTCATGAAATAGTGTGGAAAGTGCTCCGTGTTTCAGTGTAAAAAAAACCATATGAATTACCTTCAAATGTGTAGATGATGGTTCTTTAACAAGCAATCCAAGATGGTTTCATTTTGTTATGATGATGTAAGGCCAAGCTTTGAATATCATTGCTGTCTAATTTTTTCACTCTTGTGGTCTCTGTAGTGAACCACCCTTTAATAATAGATAATAAATGTCTTGAATTAGGAGAGAGGGAGGTATATTAGTACGTAACTCTTCTCCTATCTGATACCCCCAAAGTAGATGAATATTGCTGCTATAATTATCTGTAGTGAAAAAGTTGGTCACACAGTTACTCACATTTCCATTTCTATCAGTAGTCTCATTGTTAACTGTTTATTGTCTAGAATTGATGTCTTACAGTCCTTTCCAGCTCCACCCTATGGTGTAAGGCCACCATAACAGTCTTGATGCTTTGATTGCTTGTTGCTGCTTTGGAAATTTGCAGAATCACAAGTATTAATTGCTCTTATTTATTACTAGGAGAAGGACATTACACCTGACCCGAGATTGTTAGAAAAGGTGAATGAATGTGCAAAGCATCTGGAGGTCATGAGAAGCCATGAACAGCCATTATCCCATCTGAGTCCAGAACTATGTGACATTTTTGACTTCTTCATCGCTTTGACTATATGTAATACAGTCGTGGTTACTGCACCTAATCAGCCCCGACAGAAGGTGGGTTAAAAAATCAGCAAAAGAGAGTTTAAGCCTCTTTTGCATTGATACTAATTTATCTTGTAATTTGGGGAAATTAAAACCTCTTGTTCTAGTGAGAAACAACTATGACTAGTTGTGAGACAGCTCCTAGAACAACTATGTGATTGAGTTGGTTTAGTTAAGCGTTTGTTAAATGGGATATTTCACTTACCTTCAAGGTAAGATGTGCTTTCATTCACGATTTCAGGATACTTCTGAAACTTTCTCATTTTCTTATGCTGTAACTTATTCATTTCATCAATGTAAGTATGTGTGTAAATATGTGTGTAAACTAATTTGTAAATGTGAAAGACTTCCCAGAAAAGAATATAAGCTGTCTGTGAATATTTTGTATGCATAGACTGAATTAAGAAAAGGATGAGATATTCTGGAAAAAAATAAGAAGAGAATACACTTGAAAAACATTGCATAAAACTTTCAAATTATGTAAAAGATTCATCTTAAGCTCATTATGAGAAAAAATGATCATTATGGCTTAAATCAGCCTAAACCAGTGCCATTGATGAATGAAAATTTCAAAAAAGCTATCGCAACATGATCTGTAAGACAAAAATATAATGAAATTTAGTATTAAAGCTAGCCAGGAGCTGGAATTTCCATTTGGGAGAAAATTCTGTGATTTGTGGCTGTTGCAGTTTGGAATAAAAAGTGAACTAATCTGCAGAATGACATGGTTTTGTGCCAGGGAAACATGTGGAGAATACTCAGTTCTGCTGTTTCAGGAATGCTACACTGTGCAATAATTTTATATTACTATGAATACGCTATTACTATTAATAACACTGTATCTGTAAAAATTATTTATGTAAACTGAGATGAGTGGTAAAAGTGAAGCAAAATGCTTTGATGCTGAAAGAGATGACAGTGGAAATAATTTATTTCAATGTGTTCCTGTTGAGGATGTTGTTGACATTGACATATTCCCATAAAACTTTTCTGATACCACACTTCTCAGTTGCATTAACTTTTTTTTTCTGCTTTCACTGAACATTCACAAATGCCAGTGTTTCCTACTAATGATAGCTTTTAGTATGCACTACTGATGGTAGTGCAACATTGATAATTTATCCATTAGTGATATCTGAAGAGATGAAAGAAGGAAAAATGGTTTTTAATACAAACATAATGTGCTTTCACACAGGTACAATTCTGAAGTTCTAGTAAGTTTTCGTTTTTTTTGCTGTTGAGTAAGTTTTGTCGATTTACTTTCCTTTCTCAAAATACAAATACCATTACTTTCTTCTCTCAAAGAAATTCTCTTTAGTTGGAGCTGCTTAGGCTGAATATCATGTCAGAATTATTGTACAGCTTTTCTTTGGGTTTTGTTCACTGGGTTATTTTCCCTTTTAAAGGTTAGAGATCGATTTGAACTAAAATCTCCAGTAAAAACTATAGAAGACTTCATACGAAGATTCACTCCAAGTCGCTTGACCTCTGGCTCTAACAGCAGTAGTTCATCTAGTCTAGCTACAAGCAAATCAATGCACAGATTTGGTTTAAGTCTGCTTTCATCTACATCTACGGATAGCACTTTATTAAAACTGGAAGAGAAGCTGGCATACTCTGCACAGATGAATAACAATGGCTACAGCTCCCAGCAAGGCAGGACAACTGCACGGGGTGGACCTGAGGAAGGAGAACTCCGTTATGAAGCAGAGAGTCCAGATGAAGCTGCTCTTGTCTATGCAGCAAGGGCATATAACTGTTCTCTGGTTGGAAGGCTGTCTGACCAGGTATCAGTGGAGCTACCTCACCTGGGAACACTAAGTTTTGAAGTATTGCATACATTGGGCTTTGATTCCGCCAGAAAGAGGATGTCAGTAGTGGTCAGACATCCTCTCACAGATGAAATAAATGTTTACACTAAAGGAGCAGATTCAGTTGTTATGGATCTTCTTCTACCCTGCTCTTCAGGTACACCTCTTACTTACCTTTGCGGCAGTGGGGAGCTGGGGGGAGGCAATTCTGCTTAACTGCTGAAAACCTCATTGTATCTTGCCTTCTTCAGCAAGCAGACCTGCCTGCTTTTGTGAAGATGGGGAACAGTAGAATGGCAGCTTTCTTCTTTTGTAATACTTTGTTATTGTTATTATTTACTGTGAGAGTGGTTGAGACACTGGAACAAGTTGCCCAGAAGAGCTGTGGGTGCCCCATTCCTGGAAGTGTTCAAGGTCAGGTTGGATGGGGCTTTGAGCAACCTGGTCTAGTGTAAGGTGCCCCTGCCCGTGGCAGAAGGGTTGGAACTAGATGATCTTTAAGGTCCCTTCAATCCAAACCATTCTGTGATTCTATGATTATAGCAAATCATCTGTAAGAAATTACTGGTTCCTTACCATACAAAGATGAGTGAAATTCATTTCTGCTCAAGATTGTCTACTAGCAAGCTTTACTTTGACGGAATTTCCTGAAACTCTGCCAAAGCAGTTTACATTTCTTAAGGAGAAACTGCTGGCCAGTGCTTGGCTATTTGCGTGTTTTATATGAAATCCAAGCACTTCATTTTGCAGCTTCTTCTCATGTTTCATTTGTGAACCTTTACGTCCTTTTGCTGCAGTATGTTTGTATAAACCAACACATTTATGCTGGTTTGACTACGATGCTGAAGGGCACTGAAACAATCAGCCATCAAAACAGAAAGGTTGGGGCAAATGGAGAGGTGCTATTCAGATGAGAAGTCTTGTCTTCAAATACTTAGTTGACTAGCAGGGAGCAGATATGTAGCAGTGAACATGTAGCTGTAAACAGGGAACTTCCCTAAAGCATGAAGACTTCTCCAGCACCCAGCTGTCACATGAAACAGAAACAACTTTAAGTAGCTGATAACTGTAATCAGTTGGATTCAAGAAGAACCCTGTAAGCTTTCAGAAGTTAGAGGAGAGACACAGGTTTCAGTTTGCATGAATCATTTTGCATCTAATTTACTGGATTTTCAACATTGAATTTAATCCAGTGTTTAAAGGTTACCCCAGTATGAATGGACAGAGCCCAAAAGTGCTAGAGGTACTTCCCCATCTTTCACTAATGCATTGACTTTGTGGTTACTTTGACATTATTTGGAGTAAACAATTGTGAAAGGCTTATACTGTGTAATTTTAGTTTAATGAAATACAGAAAAATGTTGGCATTAGGTTTCTGTTTACAGCTATATAAATCAAAGCTGAGCCAGAAAAATTAAGAACAACTTGTTCTTAACTAACAACAAAGTATTCATGAATAATTTTCTAGTGAAGATCTGATACCACAGAAGGTACAGAGAGCATCTGTGGAAACTTGTTTCCCTCCGAAGTACTAACAGAGAATTTGTAGTACTGAGAATTTCTAATAGTGTTTGGAAATGAGTTATCAGAATGACAACCAAGCATTAATAAGGAAAGGTTAATTTATGCCAAGTCTTAAATATTTTGTCACCATATAACAGACTACTTTGGAAGCTGCTGTGTCTGTTCACAGTAGACTCAATAGATTAAGGAATTTTCAGGCAAGTTTCAGGCAAATTTCAGGCAGATCTAGAACCCACATAGGTAAAAACAAGGCCAGTTAGAACACCAAACAGCAGCAATATTACCAAAGGTGGTGTATGTCAGAGAAGGGAAAGTAGAGGTCCTGAGGATTGGTGTTGTCAGTGAGCAGATTCTCTATCTGGGCAAGTACAATGATTCCACCATCTTCACAGGCACGAGAATTGAAGGTGGCTTTGAAACTGTGCCCTTTTTAATTTTTTTTAGCACAAATTGAACTCCTGAGTTTTAATATATTTTGCTATTGCAAGAAATGTAAAGTGCAGCCACTAGAACCTCATAAGCAGTTTCCCTTGTTTTCTAGCCTTCTGAATCGCTGCTAGCTTCAGTAATTCTGTACGTTTTAGCGGATCAGTATGGAAAATGTGTGATATTTCTCTTGAGCAGCTTCACTCCTGGACCTGACCTCAAACTCACAGCCTGTGCCTGCAGTGTTGTAATGTCAGTGGATATGTTGTTAATTCCCAAGGGAGTATCATTTTTTTCCCATGGTGGAGAGGTATTTCCCAGGTAGAGGGAGCCTCAGAAGATTCATACTGTAGCTATTACTTATATTGTGAGAGCTGTCAGTGGTTTCATCCTGTTCTCTGGTGATGGTGGAATGTGAGTGTGAGAGAAGATATAATGCTAGGAGAGGATTCAGGCATTTATCATTTTAAGGAATCGACCAATAAGTGAATAGACACAACAGCTAATCCCAGTGCTTGCTTTTTGCTGTCAGTGCCTCAGGGGCATGTAAATTGTGTACCAGTCAGAAGTGCATCTCAAGACTTTGTAGAACTTGTGCCCTTACACTGAGGGACTAAGGCAACACTGTGTCCATAATCTCGCAACTCCCACAAACATCACATGGCATGACTGGGTCCTATCAGACACAAAGGTCCCTGTTTGGGAGGAAGAGTATTTTAAAACACAACATGAGGAACAGGCTGAAATTAGAAGCAAAAGTATTATGTTGTAACTTTAGTTGTGTCTTACAGAAAATCAGAATTCACCATGAGCTTCAAAACTTTAAGTTCCTGAACTGACTCCATTTACTCTGTGTATTTAGTTGAGACTGTGAAACCTGATGCTTTCTGAGAGCATACAGGTATTTCCAAAAGCCTTGAAATGATCCCCAGGAGCGTATTGTTTTTACTTTATCTCAATCACCATGTTCATAAATAAGAAAATTACATTTTGAGTCAATACCCAACTCACACAGGAACTGGGAACATAAGTCATTCTCAGTGTGACTGGACTGGCTTTCTGCAGCTTGTGATTATGGAAGGAAATGAAGCAGGCAGAACACCACTATCTCTCTAGCATTCTTCTGGAGACTTATTTGCTGTTTGTCACTGACATGGTACATGTGGTCACACTTCTCAGCATAGAGACTTACATCTCAGCTGAAAAGAATCTCCACAACTGGGCTTTCTCTGTGAGAGATTCCTTCCCCCCTTTTAACTTCTGAGGACAAGGTGAATCTCAGAGTAAAACTGATGAGGAACATGAAGAGCTAGAAGGGGCATTAGCTGTCATTGGTAAGCTAGTGGAGGAGGGAGATGGATTCTTCCATGCTGGAATTCGCACAGAAAATGGTGTGCACATCTCTACGTGTAGAGAATTACTGTCTTTGTTCATTGAAGGTGGTATTAGCATTTGACATGATCACTGCATCAGAGCCCATGGTATTCAGACAGATCTGAAGTGATTAACACCACTTAACCTTAAAGGGGTAGAAACAACTTTTGATGTGTTTAAGCACCTATTCAAGTTTGCACCATTTGAAGTCAGCAAGTGACTGAAATAGCCACTCCCATAAGGCAATTTAATGTGGCTTATGCAAAAAAAATGGCATTTTTCTCTAGAATAGTAATGTACCACAATAAATTAGAAAGAATGCATGCCTACATTATTCTTCTGAAGTTAGAAGAGCTGACTCACTAATACAAAAAGCCTCCAAGAAGGTTTGCTGTATTACTTCTCCCAGAAAAAAAAATAAAATATAAAGTCTTATATTACACAGCCAAATCACATATGCCAAAAAAATTCTAATTCACAAGTAGAAAAGAAGCTAAATGAGTCTGCAGTAGGCTGCCAGTTCAGTATGGTATATTTCCACTTTATGTTGCAGCTGAATCTAACTGTAAGCTGTTTCAGTAGCTTCTGAAGGAACCTGGTAGTGGTTGTGTCTGAGCCACAAAGTATAGTGTAAGAAAGGGCTTTCAAGTTGCAAGCAGTGTTTGTGGGAATATTCTTCCAGAATAACATATCTGTATTGTCCCTTTGAGAAAATCAATAGTGATAGCATAGTTAGCTTTATAGTTATAGCATGGGTAGCTTTAATAGATGGGCAGGCGCATCAGAATATTCCTACCAGTATTCACCTCATGACCTTAATCAGAGATGGAAGTGAAACGAAGGTATGCATGAAATACCACAATCTTCTTTGAGTCCCTTAGGACTATCTGGGTATGTACACTGCCAGCTTTACAGACCTACAGATTAGGATGGTCTTCAAAGGTGAGAAAATAGCTATACCATATGTAAAATGTGCTGATACATGGTTGAGGTAACAGAAACAAAAACCAAAATATTGGGATTCCAAGCTCCCAGCTTCTTCCTACAACATCAGTACTTGTGTGTTTTTGTGCTGGAGCCTCTGGGTGCCCAGCTAGACACGGTACTGCTGTATAAATGTGAAAGTGCTGAATGCTATGTAAGTTTATAGTCAGATGTGTGTATGTATATACATGGTCTCACATAGCAAGATCACATTGGGTATGAATGCAAACTGGGAAAACAGGTGCCAAAATGTATAAACAGTAAGATACGTGTGTCATCTAATTTACATACCCATATTAAGTACATTGTATAAGGGTATAGTGCCTTTAGGTTTTCAGTGTGGTCGGTTGAGAGAGGTGAGCACATCCAGTAGTGAACTGAGGTCATATGTAGTGTTCAGGAGCTCAAACTTCTAGTCATGAGTGGCATTCACCTGACTCTGATTGATCTTTGTGCAAGTACCACTAACATAACTATTGCATTAAGCAATATTTGTAACAGCTCCAGTTACAAAATTATAACCCTGAAATGATTCTACACCCCCAAAACCATGCAGACTTTAAGAGAAAAAAATAAAAATACATCAGGATATAGGAAAATGTGTGAGCAATGTGAACCGGTCCCAGCTACAGAGAGAAAAGGATCAGCTACTCAGGCCCGATTTTGATTTCTTACACATGGCTTTAAGTGAAGAATAAAGCTAAGTGGAAGTTATGCGGCTTCCTTCAAGGTAGAAGCTAGCTGTGAGGTCTGCAGGATGAAAACACACTCAGACCCAAAACTTCTTGCATTGACTCAGACCGATAGGTACTATCAGTACAGCAGTAACAGAATTACCTTTATACACCTAGATGTACAAAATGAAGCACTGTTTCCCTTTCTTTAGAGATATTAACCTTGGTGGAAAACTAAATGCTATGTTTAAGTGTCATTTTTTGCATGTGATGAGATGTAAGGAAGCATTTGCTAGTAGTGTATTTGAAATTATACTTCTCTTCCTGACAATTATGATCTGCTGTGAAGATTATAATGATTTCTTAATGTATTCAGACCAAATAAATACTTAAGGAGTAAGGTAATAAAGGTCTTTCTAGCATATATTCACAATGACTTTTGAAGAGAGAAAAGACAGAACAAAAAGAAAAGGTGTTTTTTTTCTAAATGGATTATTTTACTTGAGTTTCACAGGAGACATCAGTAGCTCTTTAAAAGTATCAGTTATAAAGTGCTGTTACAGTGAGTACTGTAAACGAGGTTTTATTCTGCGAGTCCATTCAACTGCAGTTATTTCTCAATCACTAATTTCTTTTTTATTCCTATGTAGATGACCCTCGGGGCAAACATCAAAAAAAAATCCAAAGCAAAACTCAGAATTACCTTAATCTGTATGCTGCAGATGGACTGCGGACCCTCTGTATTGCAAAAAGAGTAAGTAAAAGAAGACTCTTAGGTTGCTCTTAAGGAAAGTCTTGACAAAGATCACTGAAGACATTTATTAATTTATTGTTCTTGATTCATAACTTCTTTTTCATTTTATTCAGTAAAGTATGAATGCCTCTGCATCACATTGACTGTGCCCTCACATACTCTTTTTAATAGGTTCTTAGCAAGGAAGAGTATGCCTGTTGGTTAAAAAGTCATTTAGAAGCAGAATCCTCTATTGAAAATCGTGAGGAACGTCTGTTTCAGTCAGCACTGCGGGTAGAGAAGAATCTGCATCTGCTAGGTAATGAAATGAGAGCTGGACATGAAATTAAAATGTGTTAAAAAAATCTGAGAGCTTGGCTATGAAATCTGTTCTTTCCCTTAAATGGTTTCTGACAGTATAGAAATTGGCTTCTTTTGGACTTTGTCATGGCTGTCATGTGGAGCACCACAAAGGAAGGGATATAATTAACATAACAGACACCCTGTTTTCCTTGCTCCTGGCATCATTTTATCACTAGTGAAATGAGTGTAGTAATACCAGGGATGAATTAGAATCAATATCATAAATGGAAACTGCTCCTAGAAACAGGAGGAGGACTTGGCCAAAACTGACTACAGAATTTTGTTATCTTAGTGACGTTTCAGGGTGTCGGAGACTTACATGACTCCAAGGTATTCATACCTTGGGGCATTCAGGGGCATTCATAAAGCAGTGCTCATAAACTGCATTTATGAGAACTCTCACACATCGCATTCACCACATGCATTCAGGGCCTGTGTATTCTGTGGAAGGGGATTGCATTACTTCCTAATGATGCAGTTGAAATCAGTGTATGGAAGAGGTATTCCAAGAACAAAGTCATAATCTTCATCTGCTGTGTTGAGATGTTGAATGCACTGAGATTCTAAAATGTATATATATATATTCACTATTACTCCAAGTATCCAACTGCTGTCTCTGGCAAAGAAACTGGGACAGCCATAACACTGTTGGAGATAACAGCCTTCACAATTGCCAGCATGCCTGTCTCTGGGAGATGAGATCCAGCTCACCCAGCTTCTCATGTATCTACTACAGATCTCTAAGGCTCCTCACATAACCAGTGGAGAGACAAAAGAAGAAAGTGGTGTTCATTTGGTCTGGCCTAGATACCCACTTTAGGATTAAATGAATCATGCCCTTGAAGTGTCTGTTTCTGTCCTCTGACTTGAAGGGCAGCATGAGGTGACTAATTTGGACCACAGCAGTCAGGAAGATACCACCATGGTTGTGCCTGTTGGCTCTGGCTGCACTCTGGGGGATGAGGGAGAAGGAATTGAAAAAATTGAACTGCCAGACAAATAAGTAAGCTCTAGCCAGAAATAAACTACCTGTTCAGTCATTCCCCAAGAATCTTATACTGTGGTTTGTATCTTCCAATGATCAGTTATGAGCAGGTTGTGGGAATGAAAGAGTGAGTCTGGAACAGGAATGTCTTCTCCTTTGTTTGGATAGTAATAGCTCTCCCAACATTGCCCTAAGAATGTGTTTCTGCCTACATGACTGATGGTCAGACTTCAGGTGGACTTCTACTGCTGAAGTGTTTTCTTCAAGGAACATCCATAGGAATAATGCATAGCTGAGAAAAGTTTACTTTGCTTTTCCTGCTGTTCCAGGTAACTTGCATGTCTCTCACCTCCTCATTCCCTAGTAGTGAGGACTTACATTTTCTCACATCCAAGCCTCTCAGAAACATAGTGGAGCACTGATGGCACTTAACTTGATCCTGAGCAGCTTTTGCTTCAGCATTTGAAAATCTTGTTTCTGTCAATTGATTTATGAAAGCATAGAAAAGATACTTAGAAACAGGTATAAAGACGCATTGAAAGCATGAAAAAGCCACATTTTACTTTCATATCATGGCCAACAGATTTATGATTTATTCTCTGCTATATCTCGTTTGGCAGCCAGCGTCTTTCTGCAAGAGCAAAAAGCAGCAACAAGGCAGGAAAAAGTTTATGTCTGCAGCCTAATGTGCTGTTGCCAAGCTCCAGTCCTGCCATCATTCGCCACCTAATGGGAGAAATCTGTAGTGACCCGGCCTTTTCTGGTTGAGGAAAGGCAGTTAAGACCCTTGAGAACTGAAATCTCCTAGAAGCAACAGTGTCTTCTCTAACAACATTCAGAAGAAATGGTGAAGATAAAGAGCAGAGAGAGAATAAGCAAAGATGCAACCTTTATGAACCTCTGAGACTACAAATGGTGTCGTAGTGCTTCTAAAGTTTTGAATTCTGGATTTGGTGTTGACTGTTTGAAGATGTTTACCCCATCTACTTCCCACTTCTCTTTCTCAATACCCCCCAAAAGCTGCCCAAATCTTACAACCATTGGTAGTTCAGCTATTTCCAGTAAAGGTACTTCCTAGGGCTTTTTGAAAAATCCAAACTTACAATTTCAGGTGAACCCTAAGTGTTTATTTAATGGGGAATGTTTTGCTTTTTCTATGTGTTTAGGTGCAACTGGCATTGAAGACCGTTTACAGGATGGTGTTCCAGAAACCATAGCAAACTTGCGTAAAGCTGGGTTGCAGATTTGGGTTCTTACTGGAGACAAGCAAGAAACAGCTGTTAATATTGCATACGCCTGCAAGCTACTGGATCACGATGAAGAAATCATCACTTTGAATGCTGAATCACCAGTAAGCAGATCTGATACACAAGTTTACTTGTGAACTAGCTTTGCTTTATTGTCAACTTGTACAGTGAAAAGTTTGATGACTTTTTGATGGCTTTCCTCTTTTTTGTGGATTTTTTTTTTTTGTTTGTTTCCTTCTTTTCCTGCTTCATCTGTAATTTTCAGGTAGGACATGTCTTTGAATACTTTTCAGTGACTCATGTTTCTAAGTCATAGGGTCATGTATCATAAACTTACTGAAGACCTATAACTGTGTGTAGTGGGCTCCACCATGAAGTAAAATATGCCATAGCCACATGAATGCTTTTCTTCAGTATGCATTCTCAAAATACCCCTAGTTTTGCTTATTGGTACTAATGGGTCTCCAAAAGCAACCTCTTGGGAATCTGTGCTTTATTTTACACTGCTGAAATGTAGTATTTAGATAACTCAGTCATTCGTGTTTTCTCAGGTGGCTTTTTCTCTGGAGGTAGGAGCAATACTTAAATTTTGATGCTAACACTGAGAATCAGCAAGCCACATCTACAATAATGCCTTGCTTCTTAACAGACCTTTTCTAATTCTTCTGAATTACTGATCTTTCCTGTGCTCAACTTTTGTAAGCAGACAGTCACAGTTTACTGATATGGTCTAATATACAAGGAAGCAGACTGATAGTGCTATCGTCTCTTAATGGGGTGATAAAATTGGACTTCAGATCAGCAGAGAGGGACAGGCCAGCAGTATCCAGCTGCATATTCTTTTGAAAAGGAAGAAAAGATAACAGCATTTTCTGTTCTTGAATGTATCAACTGAACTGGTAAATTTAGTTTCCATGATCTTTATTTTTTGCCACACATAGTTGTAAGACCAATACCATTTCATTTCAAATGTTCATATATTCTCAATAACATCTTCTAGTTGAGTATGGCTAGGTGAGAGAATTCAGCTTAAATAACCTTTAATTGGCCTTTAACAATGCATAACTACTTGATCTGAGTTGTAGGCGTATTCATGGTGTTCATCACCATACTTAACTTGGTACTGATACTGATTGTATCATTTCCCAGCACTGTTATTCTGAGAACAAGCTAAAAGAATTTAGTTTAGCATATAATACTGCATGCTAAAAAGGAATTAGATTTAAATCTTTCAGGTCCTCATTGCTGCAAGAATTGAGTGCTTAGAGTGAATAGAAAATTATTAGAAATTAAAACTTTAACAGTGCAGCGAATATAACACATTCCCCATATTTCTTATGCCTAAATATACAGCAAACAAAAACATTTGAATGCATGTTCTTTTCTCTCAAGTATATTTATTTTGAATTTTTTTTCAGGAGACATGTGCTGTCTTGCTGGAACAGTGTCTGCAATGCGTAGAGTCTAAGTTTTCAAACAACATTATAGACGAAGCTACTGGAAACATGACTGTTGGGTTCACCCCTCTCTATCCACCCTCTTCCCCTGTGCTTTCCAGCTTGGGCCTAGTGATCGATGGAAGGACTCTAGCTTATGCCCTGGAACCTGCACTAGAAGATAAATTTCTCACACTAGCCAAGCGATGCCGTTCAGTACTGTGTTGTCGCTCTACTCCACTCCAAAAGAGCATGGTAGTGAAACTAGTCAGAGACAAACTCAAAGCAATGACCTTGGCAATAGGTAAATGTCTCAGTTTAAATTAGCCTGCCTTGATGTATACTGTGCCTTGAGAACTTTGATTTTTTGACTTGCGATAGGACCCTTCCAGCTGCCTCACAAGTCAGTTAGCTTTCCAGTTTTGTCTGAAAATGTGTCCAACAACTCTTAACATATTTATTCAAGACCAAAATAGAACTCTGGAGTAGTATTTGGGATTTCTTCCTACAGAAGTTAGGTAATCAGGACCCAGGTATGCTATGAGGTTTTGGCTTGTCCAAACCTAGCTGTGAAGAACTGGGTTAGTTGGTACCATGCACAACCCTGCTTTGCAGTCACTGTATTGCACAGAACAAGGTTGTGTTCAGTGTTGTTTCATCTAATCTTATTTAAACTCAAAGTTGTGTGGTTTTAATCACAAGTCGACCATACAGCTTAGGATATGACTTGGCCTTGTCAGCATAAAGAATGGATTTGCAACTGACATCATTCCAGTGCTTACACTTCTTCCCAGCTAATAGCTCAGTTGGTGGATGGGAGATTTTGTCAGTTACCATGTCTTAAATCTGGCACCCTGTTCCATGTTTCCATGATTTTTGTGTAAGAAAAGTCAACCAGCTCTTCTTCTCAAATTTAGGCTCGTGCTGCATTAGAAGATATGATTGCAGCATATATTGTAACAAGCACACTAGCTTTCATCTGCTTGTCTTAGTTAATCATAGCAGGAACATGTGGGTTGGACCCCGTGAGAAGCTCTAAGTACATATAATAATTGCCAGACTCCTGTGACATCCACATCACCAAATATGTACTGATGATAATACTACTCATGCTCACTATATTATGTCTAGCTCAAGTATGCCCCCCTCATACTGAATTTATATTTTTGGCAGACTAACTGTGCACATAATCATTTGCATATGTTGTCAAAAACGTCTGTCTGGTTAATTTGAATTATCCAGAATGCTTAAAAACACCAGTGGAGACTGGGCAGCTTGTGCTCTCAATCTTCCTGAGCCTTTTCAAGGCCAGATTGGACAGAGCCTTGGGCAATATAATCTAGTGTGAGGCATCCCTGCCCATGGCAGGAGGGCTGGAACTAGATGATCCTAAGGTCCTTTCCAACCCAAACCATTCAGTGATTCTGTGTTCTTGAACCTGGGGGTTGAACTTTAGCTCTTGTTCTCATTTAAAAGCCTAGTTGTATCCATCCTTCCTTTTAACCAACAGGAGCTAACTCAGGGTTGTGTCATGCAATCACAAAGATATCAGCTTTGTCAGGTGAGCAGATACCACTCTTATATGTGCCAACAGCAGAGAAACTGGAAGTGAGATGTGAATCCGCCACTGAAGTTTAAAACCGAGTGTCTTTTCATCAGCTGATAGTTTCATTTTCTACTAGCACACTGGCTGTAAATTTAAGAGATTAAGAAGTAGATATATGTTGCATTCTGGTGTCCTTTCTATGGCACATGTCACTTCCATGATTGGAAGCAGAGCAAGGGATGCTGACTATGCAACCATTGCAGTTAAATCTGATAGGTGATGAGTATGTTAAAGATCTCAGACTGGTCAACCCAAGTCAATAATTCATCTACTTTTTAACTTTATTGTATTTTTATTGTGTAGACATTATTGGCTTTAGGCCTCCTTGCAAATTTCAGTCTTAGTCATACCTGATTGCAGGCGAGAGTTAATCAGGAAGCGTAAGTATAGGGAAGCTCATTCTTAACCTTCTAGTGTTTTAGTTTTTCTACATTTCAGGCCTGATATTTGAATTTTAGGTCTTGCTGAAAACAGAGGGATTTGCTTTTTTTTTTACTTTCCCATGATTAGAAAAAAAAAAAAAAAAAAGAGGTCTGCAAAGATCAGAATGTCTTGGCAATTTTGTCAGGCTTTTAACCTTATATTCCAAAGATGGATCCCTTCCTACCCCACACTGCCTTTATTATACTCACCCAACAGTTAGTACTTACTATACTCAGTCAACACTCAGTAGCAACTGGTATTCCTTTACTTAGCTGCTGCTAACTGTTCTGGTCTACTAGTGACAACATAACTGTATCTTGTCATCTTTAGGTGATGGTGCTAACGATGTCAGCATGATACAAGTGGCAGATGTTGGTGTGGGGATATCTGGGCAAGAAGGCATGCAGGTAATGTTGCTCATTCTCTAAAATGCACTGCCATGAAAGGGTGAAACCGGCATTCCCCATATGTCAGCTTGACCAAGCTGCCTTTGGGTAGCCAGCACAAAAAAAGGAAAAGCAGCGAGTTGTTCTCAGGAGTGCCAGTTGCACATTGTGAGGATGATGTCAGCCTGAGTTTGAGCTTGTGTTAGTTCTCAGATCTGTGGTAAGTTTAAACATGTTACCTTCTCAAAAAATTCAACTTACCATGCCTCTTTAAGCAATATGTTTTAAGAAATCATTTATGAACTACTGGCTTATAGGAGGAAAACCCCTCAGCTGGGCATTATTCAGGAAATAAAGGTTCACTTCATTCTGGCTTTTATACTCCTCTCTCCTGTATTGCTTGGGAACAGCAAGATAGGGGGACTTGCCCTATCATCTTTTGAATGTGTTCAGCCTGTGATTACTGTATTTACCACTCTATAAGCAGCACTTCACCCATCCCCAGAAAAGAGAATGTATATATGTAGGGTGTATTACCTACTGCATTACCTATTCCCTCTGTCTCTTCTACTGCTAGTACAGTTCAGTTGCATTGTTATCACTGGACGTGCAGTAAGACACAGAAAATGAAGAAGATATCTCATTTCCACAACCTGCCTTGCATTTGGGCTGAGTACAGACTGATTACATGAGAAAATAAAGTAGCTGAGTATATGTCAAAGTTCTTGAGAGAAGGTGGGAAGTGTTTCCATCCTGAGGACCTGAGCAGATGAGCATGATCCTTAACTTAGTTACCGGTGGGTGGTTCTCTGACCCACATTACATTTTTTGCAACACTGGCTGGATGTTTTGCTCAAAAGGGAAGAAGGGCCTCCTTCGCACAGTGCACAAGTTGGCTATAGAATTTTATTCCATGGGATTTCATGAATGCTGTAATTTATTTGGGTCAATACACAAATTTATGAAAAAGAAATTTAACTGAGCTATGAACTTGGATGTCATCTTAGTGCATTTCTGACATGCACTTCACCAGAAGCTAGGACAGTACTCTGGAGAAAAGTCAGAAGCTGTTTTTCTTATTTATCCATATACTCTTCTGAAGGCATCCTCTCTTGGCCGCAGTTGGAGAATGGATAGTACAGAAGACAGGCTGCAGATTGACCCAGCAGAACTATTACACTTGTTCTTCTTCTTGTAATCACCCAGTGGGTTCAAAGTAGACTCCAGGGCAAATGGATGTCCCTCAGTGCTCTTCAGACAGACAGATTTCAGGCTGCAACCCATTAAAAATGCTTCTCTAAACATCTTAGCAGCTGTAAATTAGACTAGAAAGAAGCTACCACAAAAATATTCAGATATTCATTGTATGTCTGGCATCCCAGCTATAGATCCTGTGAGTCTGACTTTAATGGCTGATGAGGGCAGAAGAAAAGGAAATCTTGGATTAAGCTGATACCAAGTGTATTTGTTATTCCATAGCCTTTATCAGGCTCCGAACACTTTGCGTAACTTTTGCAACATCATTCTGCAGGCAGTCTAGGCACCAGAGAGCCCAGAGGAGATTGTTTTTGTGGGGTACCCTCCATGCCTGTCAATTCAAAGAAGCCTGCCCCCAAATCCTTGGGTCTTATCATCTCTCATGAACTTACCAGCTCCTATCTCTATGTATTAATTCAGATCACTTTTTTCCCCTTCTGCAGACATATAGTGCTTGTAGCTTTTTTTTTTAACTCCTCTCGCCATTATGCCACTTTCAGTTATATGCTTACAATAATCGGTCTTCAAATGCCCCTGGCTTTTGCTCATTAACCCATTAAACTACCTATTTTTTTCTAAATGAAATTTCAACAGAGTGGAAAATGTTTATAGATGATTTCCTTTACTGCAAAGTCCCAAGCAACCATGCAGGCCTCTTTACTATAAACAACTGTCAGAATCTTACACATGCAGGTACTCAGAAGGCGTTGAGCATTTAGATGTCTGAAACAGCAATACTCTCTGATTTATTTTCTTTCCACAATCTATAGAAGCATGTGGAACATGAATCACTTTTTCCTGTGAAAAAGCTGGAAGAAAAAATAAAAATGTGAAAATCAAGGGGATATTTTGAGAGGAAATAAACATGCAAATGTAATTGGATAGCACTGTCTTCCTCACTGTGTTCCTCACTGTAATAAAAATGGAATAAAAATGAAAAAAAAACTGACACTTTTCACAGTATGTTGTGAAGTACTATGTTAGAAGCACAAATGAAAAGAAGCTAACAGTTTTGTTTTGACATGGGAATAGGCTGAGATAGGGTGGAGGACAAGGAAGCAGACATAGCACAGCTCTCTTCTCCTCAAACTACAAGAGAGCTGTATGTCTGCAAGACAAATCAGACTGTTCTGTGCAGAGAGGTTATAATAAGTGTATCTCGGTACCTGAGAAATTCCAGGATGTGTCTATGTATTGCAAAATGTCCCAGTGCTTATATACATCTACTGCTTAAATTGCAATCATTACTACACCTTCTCTTGCATATTGTTTTAGAGGGTTTTTTAATAGTGTATGCTTTTAATGATTTACCAAGAAAGGGAATTAAGAAAAATTAAAAGGAAAGGTGTCTCTCATTTGAAAATACAACCAAGATATACCCTGCAGAGTGTGAGGAAGTCATTGCCCCTTTGGAGGTTTTTTCACCTTATCCTTTCAGTTCGCTGAACTGTGAGAAGGTGATATGAAAACATAAAATGAAATGTAAAATAATGTTCAAATGAAATCTTACTGTGATCCTAGTGATAAGCAGAATAGTGAAATAATTGTGATAGAGCCATAATTTACAAGAAGGTCTCATCTAGAGGTACAGTACCCTGAATTCTAGTCAGAAGTAGAGAGAAACTGGGTGATTCATTTTGTCAATGTGCTTTGGCAGTCTGCACAGTCCCAGAGGAGTCTCATCCAGTGTGATTTTTCATAGACAGTTTTAGAAAACATGGGATTTGAAAGATTAAAATCCCTCAAAATACTGACATCTCAGGAAAGCTGAGTAAACTTTATAAGCCAGGATTGCAAATGTAACTAAAGCTAATATTTTTATTGTTTTGTCTTTTAAAGTGCAGTATTTATGGTGCAACTTCGTAATTGTACTTTTCTCATTTTATTCTCTGGAAATTCATTTTGCCCTGTTAAGTACCTTTTAATTTTTACAGAGAAAGATGTTACAGCCACCAAGACGTTCACATGTGGGCCCTGAGCCTTCATGCTTATGCAGCTGAATTGCCAGCCATTTTCCCACCTCTCTTTTTTTGCTGCTGCTTGTCACCATCTGGAACGTAGAGTGTAAAATTGGGCAAGGACCAAGTTGCGTTGCATGTTCTGCCAAGCTGATGTGTTTGCTCACGGGTATTCCAAATCAATGCAGCATTTGCTGCATTTCAGATGCACTGTAATGGATTTCATTCTTCATCAGTACAATTTCCATTGACTGTATGAGTTGAGAAGATTACTAGATTCACTGTTGGTATTCAAAGTTACTCCTTACAACAATGATTCCAACTTTCCTTTCATTAAAGGCAGTGATGGCGAGTGACTTTGCAATCCCAAGGTTCCGGCATTTGGAGAAACTGTTACTTGTTCATGGTCACTGGTGTTATTCCCGACTTGCCAACATGGTGCTGTATTTCTTCTACAAAAATGCAGTAAGTGTTTGACTTGGCAGCTTTATGCCACCACATGTTTCCATGGTTTATTTTGTGCTAAGTGAGCATTAGGTCAGCTTTCAGATGGTTTGTAAATAAGCTGCAAAGAAATTTGCAGAGTTGAAAGACAGCTGGCTGCCATTTGCAGAAATACAGGACTCACTCCATAACAGCTACAGTGTGCTGCTGAATGTGCAAATTAGGTAACAGAAATAACAAATCTGCTTAAGAAAAGTTTCTTTATAGAGCAGTTTTGCAGAATTCTGCTGGCTAGACACGGGAGTCTGTGATGCCAAAGCCATCCAGCATTGGTCCAAAGTAGCAGTTCAGTGTGTTTTTTCATCCTGACCCTATCTTGTTGTTGCTTTTGAATCACAGTACATATTCCCTAGTGACTTAAGATCATTTGAGTCCTCTTTGTGTCTCAGATACAGATTGGGAAGGTTTTTTTCTTGATTTATCTCACCCCCAACTAACCAAAAGAGTTCATTAGAAAGGAAGCACGCTATTGTAAGGAACAGACTACAGGTCTGTGTTTCCTCCCTTGTGTATGAAACGGGAGTTAGTCCAGTACTGGGCACTGAGCCAGTAGTAGTTTGACTCCTTGGCCCTAACAAAGGCCCTTTGCATTGATCTTGGAGTACAAAGATGATTGATTGAAAACTGCCTAACAAGACAAGTGAGAATTCCATACGCTGGGTAGGAGTCACTGGCAGGCATGCAGGTATGCTCACTTGCAAGACCTATAAATCACCTTGGGAGCAATGGATATGAAGAAGCGAATAAAAAGGAGAGCCAAAGCTCTCAGACTTGTGTTTTCTTCAGAGAGCAATGTGTAAACTGTGAGCGGGAGACTGGATTTTATCCTCAACATCAGAAAAAAATTAGCTGTCATTTTTTTAAAAGCTGCTTTTCAAATTTAATCTAATTCTCTTTGTTTTGTTTTTTTTTTTAATCAGTGGCAACTTTTTAATGCAAGTTCTTCTCGGTCTGACTGATTCCTATATGATCTTAGATTGAAGTTTCATATTTTATCAGGAGAAGACCATCATTTGGTCAAACTTTTGAACATCATAGGAGTACCTGAGGGAGCTAAAGAATTAATAAAGTGTCTTTGTGTTAACACAAGCATGTTAAAATACCTTCTGTGGCCTGATGAAAAACTGCATGCAAGCACCCTTCCAGGCACAAAAGAAAGAAGGGACTTGGATGTCTGAACTGCTGCCTGAGTCTAAAATAGCTAAAATAGCAAGCAGATTTAAATAATGCTGCACTGAGTGGAGAGCCACCTGTTGAAGCACAGCAGTAAAATCTGCTCTGGTGTTCAAATGGCTGAGTTTTAAGGCATTAAGGCCTGAGTGATGTTGAACATCTGTACTCCCACTGCTAGAGCTCTGTGTTTCCAAGATACTCTTTGGCTTGACAGTATTGGATCTGAACTTCCAAGAAGTGTGTACAGAGCCATCTTACATTAAAATAATAATAACAACAAGAAGTAATACACATCAGGCATTCCAGCAATCAGCAGCCAAAGATTATGTTTATACATCTACATTTTTGTTCAGCTGTTGTAAAATCTTCCCTTTCCTTTGGTACACCTCCCCTTGATTACGAGTGCTATTTCTCATGCCATTTTGAGTAAGACATTTTCAGAAGCTGCTGCCTCAAGGCAGCAGAATATAACTGAAGAAATCTCTTTGTGTTGGCTCTGCTTCGGCAGCCTTAAGAGCTTTCTGAGCAATTCTTGTTGCTACTGACTCCAAAACTGTAGAGAGGTATCCAGCATATAGACATAAATATGTCTGACATAGTGCCTGCCCTTAAGGAAAGAATATTCGAGAAATGAAAGATGTGAGCACCTGATCCTTTTGAAAGGAGACTATTCTGGGTGATTCTTTGCAGAGAGTCAAGATAGCTACACTGCAAATGTTCTGCAAGCTTTCTGTTTCCTCATATGTTTTTTTTTCCCTATTTGCTTATATTACGAAATTTTCCGTTCTCTACTAGGACCTATTTAACTCAAAGTTTAAACTCCAAATTGCTGCGAAAGCCATTTGGAAACTTAGTTGACTTATCCAAGGAGATGTTTGGCTTGGTGAAATAAAAAAATACAAGTAAAATATAAGCTAAACAGCTAAAAATATAAACTAAACAGCTAAAATATCTGAGCTTGATGAAAAGGGATTTCATGTAAAGAAAATTCTACCTGCAGAAGAATGCACCGCTTCTTCCCCTTTATACATTATCTCTGCAAGACAGCACTGGACATCTTTTGATTTATACTTCATTGACTGAGAAATTCTGTCTGGACTCACATTCACAAAGCAGTCTCATCTGGGGAAAAGAAGGAAACCTTTTGTACTTAAAATCTAATTCAGTTTTTATGTAAGTTTGCTTGACTTTTTCAGGAGGGAAACGCACAGAAGCAAAAAGGAACATTATATTTGAAATTAAATTAAACACTTGTTTAATCCAAAATAAAACTTCAGAGGTAGAGGGAAATCTGATTTAAGCTTGGTTACTGAAATGTCATTTATTTGTACAGCTTTCTTTGAAAGAAATATGCTGAGACCCCTATGAGAGAGGTAGGAGAATTTTCAGCTATTTTCATCAAACTGCCCATTTTTGTCAGAGCCAGACTGTTCCCAATACAGGTTAATTTTAGCAAGACTCTAGAGAGGAAAATTTATTAGGTCCAGATTAGCTGGATTTTGTCTATTTCAAAGGAGTAAGGGAAAACTATCTAAATTCACATATTTATTGCAATTCTATTTTAAGAAAAGACTCAGGAAGTTTTGTTGGGTTTTGGATGTGGAAAGAAAATAAATTTCAAAATCTGTTCAATTTTGCAATTAAAATTGCTGTCTCCCAGCCAATTGTACTAAAGAGGGTGAGGTCTGGTAACTCACTCTCTACTGTGGCCGGAGGAAGTTAAAACTGGGGAGAACCTCAAGGGACAGTTGCCAGGGTTTTTCTTGTTGCCTTCCTCTTGGTGTTAGTCACTTTATGAAGAACAAGAAAAACTGCAGGTTTAGGAGGACCAAGCCTGGGAATTTATTTCCCTCAGAAGCTGCCCGTCTTTTTCTCTGCCTCAAATCCACCCTCACCAGATGAGATCAGCACCTCTTCCGAGTCCTAAAAACCTCTGGTTTCTCCATGCTGCAGAAATTGTAGAAGTGTGTGGTTTGTCCTTTTCTGGGTGATTCCAACCTGACTATATGAACAGTCCCATTGCAGCTGTGTATACAGCTGAATTCTTTATACAGCCAAAGAGTAAAGGAGATAAAGGAGTCTTAACAGCACTACTAATTTACCTAATTTTAGAGCACAGAGACAGAACAGTTTTGACAACTCTGCTAGACCTTACAGTTTCACTTCCCTTGCTGCTGCTAGTCTCATGTTGGTCTTGCAAAAAGGCTCTGCATTTACCTATTGCAGACCATCAGAGCCTTCCAAAATACCTCAAGCCGGCAGAGGATATTATTATGAAGAAGCTTACTCTTACAGTAGTAATGTTAGTGCTGTGACATCAGTACTCATATACCTAGAGGTCAGTGACAGTTGGGAGAGCTTTTTATGGTTAGAACTGAAAGTTAATTTTGCGTGAAGGCATCCCTGACACCTGAGATCTGAGGTTCCAGCAGTAGAAAGACTTGAGGTGTGCCAAATGTTAGCATTTGGCCTAGATAAGCAGCAGGAATAGTAAGTTAAAGACTAGGTATCCTTAGAAGGATTGCTCATGTGTTTAGCATTCATAGGTAAGTCCTTGCAGAACTGGAATCAGAATGGTTTCAGAATACAATTGAATGACGTTTCTGCTTATCTTGCATATTTTCATCATTGCTTTTTCTGTTTTAGATGTTTGTGGCCCTTCTCTTCTGGTACCAGTTCTACTGCGGGTTCTCTGGATCATCAATGGTTGATCAATGGTATCTCATCTTCTTTAATTTACTCTTCTCATCTCTTCCACAACTGATTACTGGTGTGCTGGATAAGGACGTGCCAGCTGAAGTGTTAATTGCTGTGCCTCAGCTTTATAAAAGCGGCCAGAATATGGAGGTAAAAACTTCTTGCTTTTTATAATCTTTTTCCTAAATGTCTTTAGTTTCAACTGAAAACCAGCCCTGTTCCCAAAGGGTAGATGACTGATAGCAACAGTCTGAGAAGTCACTATTACTATTTTGTGATATTTTTCATCGGAGTGAAAGTATCTAAATGCCAGAAGGGCATTTAAAAGAAAAAGAAGCACAAACAAAAAAAAAAACAACAGCTGTATTTTGAAATAATGGGAGAGAAGTCTGGATGCTCTAAGGCTCACAAATAACCACAGAAGTGAAACAGATTATGCCTTGTAGATTAAGGGAAGACTTTTGTAGAATAATCTCAGAGTATTTACGCAAAACTTTGGACCCCAGCCTTTTACAAACAGTCAGAAGAGAAAGATGGCTTTAGGAGTAGGCACAGAGGTCAATAGATTCTGAGGGAGATAGTCACCAGCTTCAGCTGAGATGTCAGTTGAAAATACCTCGTTCCCATCTGCTTGAATTGTACAATGAAAACAGAAGGAATTGCAGGAGGGATTTGAGCCAAACCATTTTTGGTAATTACAACTACAGTGTCCTGTGAGAAAATCTTTCTGCTTGGCAAAACTATCCATTTTGAGACATTGCTTCCAAGGTAAAAGCCTTTCTTAAAAGTATCTGACATTGTGCCCTCTGAGAGGAGATAGTGAGTGGGTTTGGCTTCTAACTGTATTTGCTTCTAACTTGCATTTGGTACCCCACACATCTAGTGACATTGCTGGACACTGTCCTGGAAAGATGAAAGGAGAATTCTAGTGTAACTTATTTTTAGTGCTTTAGACAAAATTATCTCTTTTTCACCTAGATGTTGCTTTCCATTTTCTGCATTTCTTATGTTCTAGTACATGGCACTTTAAAGATCTGTAACAGTAATACCTTCCTTTCTTGCACATTTTTAAGGTGATAGAAATCTTGTAATGGCTTAAGCTTGTTGGATAGTTGGGTCAGCCTATCTTCTGCTGGGAACCTGAAGATAGCAGTCTCCCAGGTTCACAGTACAATTATTTTCATAGACAAGCCCATGGACCATTTTAAGTTTGTCTGAAATCTAGTAAGTATATACTCTGAAGTTACCTAAAAAAGGCATTTTAAAAACTGTCCAAAAAATCCTGCTTCAGGCAGGATGCCTTTCAAAAAGATGTCACTGATTCAAGCCTATAGAGCTTTAGAGTAATTTAGATGGCTCTGGAGGCCATCTGATCTAGATCCGTGGGCAAAGCAGCTTCAAAGCTAGATGAGGTTTTGAATGTTTCCAGCAATGGAGATTCCAATGTCTCTCTGAGCAACCTGTTCCAGGCCTTAACCACATGATATTTCTGTAGGCAAAAGAGCATCGTAATTCTTTCTAAGCATCTTTCAATTCCTATTTTTAGGCTGCAATGATATTTTCCATAGAGAAAGGGAGCCCTGATGAACCCAGTGGTTGAAGATGTAGCCTATATCCCAAAATTAAATAAATGTTTTGCTATTTACTATTTTTCCTTATATCTAGGTCTTTTATATGACCAGTGACACCCTTGTAGTTGCACATTTCTTTAAACCAAAATGTTAGTTTAATATTTTTTCACAGCAAGCAATTTTATGCACACACAGATATATATATACGTATGTTTTATATACATATTTATAACATTTATAACATTTATACATTGCTGCATTAATTACTGCTAAAGATTGTTGTGGATATTATTTTCTAAGTATGTGTGCATTTTCTGTTTTCTGTCTCTTGAGAATAAATACCCTGTGCTTTTACATACATGATGAAAAACCCATTTATTCATGTGTTTACACCTAAGAGCAGCTCCTGAAATCAGTGGTCTTAACTGTAGTGCATAAAGTTGAGCACCTTCATAAATGTTTGCTGAGGGTCAGATTTAAATTACACCCTCTGCCAGAGAAAAAGGCAAGTGATTTTCAGACAGGCTCTTCATACTTGATACCCAAGGGTAACTGATGGGCAAAGTTGTGAAGCTGTTTGTACAAGCCCTTAAAAGTGCCCATTGGAACATTGCCCTCAAATACCTGTCCCAGCAAACTGCATTTTTATAAGGCTCTGATTTTCTTGTATTTTTTTTATGTCACAGGAGTACCAACCACACATGTTTTGGATGAACATGATTGATGCTATGTATCAAAGCCTGGTTTGCTTCTTCATCCCCTATTTTGTAAGTGTTTGGTTTAAGCCATTCTATTTCGAGCATTTAAGAGAACTGGCAACATAACTCGAGCTAAATTCTGTCTCCTCCTTTACAGACTTACTATGATTCGGAGGTGGATATCTTCTCCTGGGGAACTCCTATCACTACAATAGCTCTTTTCACCATCATCTTGCATCTGGCTATTGAAACCAAAACTTGGGTAAGGTGCCCACAGTCTACATAGAAAATCACTGGCATATATGTCATTTGTTTCTTAGTGCTGTTCTTCAAAAACAGAAGATGGTAAATTTGTTTCCTCAGCATGTTCTGTTTTTAGCAAGCATTTTAAGCAAACATGAAAAAGGTTTTAAACTGTGATCTGCAAACAGCTTTGTAGCATTGTATCTGTAATTAGATTTTTTTTAAATAAAAGGCTCTGAACTGTTTGCTGTGCATGGATTTTGCTCCAGGCATTAAGAAGTTTTAATTCAGAATCAGCAAATTTCTCAGAATACAAAGGATGATTATTCTGTTGGTTTTTTTGTTCTAGACTTTTCTCCACTGGTCATCTTGCATCTTCAGTATCCTCTTATTTTTCTTTGTGGCTCTGGTTTACAATGCTTCCTGCCCAGTATGTCATCCTCCATCCAATCCCTACTGGACTATGGAAAGGCTGATGGGAGACCCTATGTTCTATTTCACTTGCATTATATCACCAGTCATTGCATTGCTGCCCAGGTATTGTATCTTCTTTCATGTCTTTTTCATATATGAAAGTAATTTATACATGTTATGGGGAGGGCAAGAAATATTCCTTTTTTCAGTCCCTCTCTTTCTTTCTTCCTTACCAGCCAAGTCACGTTTTTTTCAGTGGCTGATTATATGAATTCAGGTTGTTTAACCTCTCCTGTGCTTCTGACCACAGGAAGAGACACATATAGCTCCTGGCCGTAGGCCACAGGAGTGGTGGATAATTGTAGACTGTTGGTCAAACCTCCTGGCCACGCAGAGGTTTACTATCCCGTGAGGTTTCCTGTGGTGCTTCTGGATTCAACCCATTCCCCCGTAACATGCACAGTAGAAAAACTCTGATAGCAGGTTGCAGACTTACTTGCCTACTTCTGGATGTAGAAGGCGTGCTCTGCAGACTGATCCCCACTGATTTGTCACCAGGAAAGATGAAAGACTCTGAAAGCACAAGGTGGATCACTGGCTAAATGTACAGATTTATTATGCTGCTTGTTATTAATCAAAATATTAGCACAGCATTCAGAGCTTTTCATTTGCAAGATTTCTTGTGTAAAAGGCACATTAAAAACTCCCTTATTTTTCTGTGTTGTCCTTTTTTCTTGGATGTTTTCTCCTAGATACTTCCTTCTTTCAGCTCTTTTCATGTGCACATTCTCCTCTTGCAGATTTCTGTACAGAACCCTTCAGGGAACACTTTTCCCAAGCCAGCTTCAGCTTGGACGCCAGCTGAGTAAACTGTCCCCAGAGATTCGCACCCAGCTTCTGACCAAGTTGAATGTAAAAGGAACAGTATGTCAGACACAACCCTTTGCAGTCAGCTTCTCACCAAGCCTTCGCTCAAACACTAGTGATTGTTATAAGGCTTACGACCAAAGCACACCTTTGTCAGCATGTCTTCAAACAAGTGAGTCACTCTTCCAAGAGTACCCAAAGGCAGCACATACAACTGATCAGACTGTGGCTGCCTCTCCCCAGGGTTCTGTGTTGTATGGGGAAAACAAATTCCCCTCATCAACAGGTAATCTAGAAAGGTCCATGGGATTTCATGAAGTTAGACACAGCACTTCAGAGGTGGAGTCATTGCCTGTGGGAGCAACATTCCCATGGAGCTCAGCAGTCAACCAAGCAGATTTCAGTTTGTTGAAGTGGATCACATCAACTCCGTTGTTCAGTCGTATTGGGACTGTTTTACAGGTGTCATCGAGCAGTTTACAGAATGAAACACAGGACAGTATGCATGTGCTTGGCTCTTCTTTGCATATGGACTTCAAAGGCTTAAAAGAACAGAGCTCAAATAACTTGCAGGACAAAATGAAAGGGTCCTCATGTGATCTTTGTAAAAGTGACAATTCTGAGACCACCTTTTTATGACATGGGCCTTAAATATATTTATATATTTTCTATTTGCACACATTTATAATGAGATTATTTGTTTCCAAAGATGAAACAGAAAATCAAAGGTACAGAATGATTATTTAAGAATGTTTAAATACAGTATATTGAAATAAGAGCTTTAAATATAAAAAAAAACACTTGAAAGTTCCATTTATATTGTTTTATTTTTTCATCTCATTTTGTAAGGAAATGCTGTCTTTTTATTTTTCAGATGCTTCTCTTTTTATTCTGACACATACTGTAAAAGCAAGGGACCTATCTACCATATACAAAAGGGTTAGATTCAGCAATAATTACTGATATCATCATAGGCCATTCAGTTATCAAGGAGGAAAAACCATGATAATAAACAGGCACTGTATTACATCCGTCATCTGCTTGCCAAGGTGTTTTGTCACTGGATCAAACTATTAGGCAAGACTATCAAATCATTATACACGTCTCTGTAAATGTTAACAGTATCTTACCATCACATTAATAATACTGGTATTTTATAAGTGACACCATATTTTGATATTGCAGCCGTAGCATTTTATGCGTCATGATTAAACAATAAATAAATGACCATCCATATTGCAAAGTGAATTCCCAGTCTGGCATTAATAGTAATTCAACCCTTCACTTCAGAGTAGCTCATATTTGGCCAGTCACAGCATTACATCAGGCTGATCTATTTCTGAAGTAAAGCTGCTGCTTGTTTGTGAGGAATGATTTGGTGGCAAAGAGCTGATGCATTGTGTCCACTGTAGAGTGTGAGCAGGGAGGGTCTGTGATCTTCTATGCTGGAGCACTACCACAGGTAGGCTAGTTTTGCTGGTCAGTCCTTGATAGCGGTGGGGCAGAGCACAGGCAGGGTGGAGTTTTGTAGGCACATTCACTGCTGTTTCAGCCAGGTTAAATCAAGTCCTTGGTGATCAGGAAGGGGCATGACCAGCTGTGAGGGTGCAGTGCTGTGCAGAGGTACTTCAGCCTAGTTCCAGTCCCAAAAGTAAGAAGCTGCACTGCTCTCTGAGGTTATGCCTGAGCCGACATCATGTGCTTTTAAATCACGAACTGCCACTGGTACATGGATGTGCAGTTGCACTGTGCAAGCCTGGTGGATCTCAGGGGGATTTAGCCCTGAACGGCTGCTTAGTTCTTTCCTATCATCTAGTCACTATGACCATGTACATATTAGCTGCTGCACTTTTTCGTTTCCTCATTGCAGGTTTTCAGATGGCCTTTTGCTTCCTTGCCTTCGGTCCTGTAAAGCCAGAATTTGTTTGTGCAGCCTGCCTCCCACATGGGTTGCTTCAGCCCATCAGGCCACAGTGCCAACCCACTTGCTAACCTACTCAGGATCTTTTTTCCCAAAGATTTACACACTGGCCTCCGTCCCAGAAACAGAATTGATAATGTGAAACTGTAAAATGCCAATGAAGGGAAGAGATGAAAGCAATCTAAGTAAGAGCTGTCAGCCTGTATTTACCCTCACGATACATGACATTCACATGTAGCTACACTGCATTGTGGGATTAGAATTGAGTAGGGACAGGGCAGAGATGCTAACAGATTTACTCTCCCAGTCTCCAGTGAATAGTTTTAAGCATGTGATTGATTAAAAAAGTATCTGAAGCATAACTTCTTCCTTTAGCCTCTAGTTAAAGGGTAACAAGGCTTTATATGTCTATATTTTAATGAAGGAAAGCATGCCTGTTGACTCTTTTGTTACTGGCTGAAAACATTTTGACATTTCTCTGCTTTATATTGTGACAGAAATGGGGAACTAATAATGAGCACTCGGTTTCCATGAAGGTAGGTAGGCATCTGCCCTGTTGGTGCCAACATGAGCTGGGAGCTGCTGAGGTGTGCATCCTGACACACACTCTATATAGCAGGGCAGAGTCCCAGGCCCTCACAGAACTTGTTTCTCTCCACTTGCTGGAAAGACAGCCTGCCGACTCAGCTCCCTGTCTGTGCAAGTGTCTCTGGCTGGGTGAGGCAGCTCCGAGGTTAGACATCTCTGCTTGCTCTACCAACGTTTTCGTTCTCAATAGTAGCTCTGCTGGGATGACTTTGCAGGTGGCTTTTTGCAAGGTTATCTGGCTGTATTTAAGGCAAACTGTGCAGAGATTGCCGTTGTAAGTAACTCGCCTGTGTGGAGCTCCAGTGCCTTTTAATGTCAAGGAGGAAATCGAGTGACACTTTGAAATGTGTAAATGTTGCCATCTGGTTAGAAACGTTCTGCTTGTAAGACAGGATCTCACAGAAGGACACAGTATCAGATACCAGGTAGGCAGAGTTCGCAGGTTTGTGAGACGTTAAATTCTGTCTGCGTTGTGGGGTCGCATGAGGAGCTTGCCATGTATATCATACGTGAGTGCCCTCCCTTTTCCTGCAGCAGCCCCAGCAGGCAGGTGGGGCTCTCTCGATGTTGACTCCTCCTCGTCTTTCCACAGCATGTTTGGTTCCCACAGGCCTTCATGGGACTTTGCCTGGTGCTGGCAGCAGAAAGGGCTGGAACATCACTGGGCTTTGGCTCAGAGCTGTATAATCGCCTCAAAAGGAACCTCAATTCCTCGCTAGCCGTGCCTCCGTGATACCAGATTCAGGTGGTTGTGCTTTCAGTGTTCCAAAGACTGTTTGCGTAGGTAACAATAAAAGGGTTCCTCTGAGACTGAGAAATGCTCGTACACTGCCAGAGAGTTGTGTTAAGTTGCCACTGTGAGTGTGAGAGTAGTACATCTGTGTTAAATATTTAGGGAAACTATAGATCTGAATCCTCAGCTGCTGCAATCATCATAGCCCCTCTGGTCTCTGCAAGCTGACTTACCACAGCTGGGCGTCAGCCCTCAATAACTGCTGTATTTTGTTGCAAAATCAAAAATCCTTAGAGATATATTAAAGTGTAAATGCTTCCTTCATACTAGAAGATCTTCATACTAGAAGTGTCTTCATTACAGCAGCAGCCTGCAAACTTGTATGAATTTAATCTCAAATAGACCAAATAATCCTGCTGACCTTAATGGAGCAGTGGCCTCAGCCGGATTGCTTGTGTCCATGCAGGTAGATGGGAAGCTGTGCCACACTGAAGCCTTCATGTGCCAAAACTAGACGTCAAGATACATAGAGGCACAGCAGGATGTCAGCAAGCAAGGTGTCTCCATTTTCTTCTGGGAGATACGTTATAATATAAATAAAATGTAATTTAAACCACAATTTGGAGGGGGGAGGAAACAAATTTAGACATTTGGAAAGAAAATGTTAAGCAAACTAATTCTTTTCATTTCAAATCACTTTTGTCTTCAGCTGCCAGAAGAAAAACACATCAAAGCAAGTTACTTGCTGGGCTTTAGGGCTTGTCAACATTTTGAGGCTGCTATTGATATCTGAAACATTTTAACTAAACAAATACTAATGGGTTTTTGAAGGTGTATACATCAATTTTCATAATACAGAAATAAACTTGTACAGTTATTCCTGTCAGTGCACTTGAGCAGTTGTCAAACCAGGAAAAACAAAGCTTTGAGTTCATGAGGTCAATCCTCAAAAGGCATGCAAGGGTTTATTAAAAGATTCCACAAGGCAATTAAAACAATACTCATGTTTGGTCTGTTACCAACAGCAGCCCTCTGTACGCTGTGTAAAGTAGTTGCTCTGCAGTCTGCAGGCATTGCTCCATGTTGCTGGCTGGAGTAGTCCATCTGAGTTAATGACTAAGAGCATTGTGAATTAAGTGTCACAGCGTTCTGCATTTCTTACTCTTATTTACATGAAATAACTTCTCAGTAATTTATTCATTTTATAAATTTCTCTGGGGAGTTTAAAGGTCTGTGAGAAACAGCCAGAACTCTTCTGTCAGGTTAGCACTCTCTTCTCAGAAATTATGTCTCCTACATATTCCAGTGCACTGGAAATGGGCATATAAATGTCAAAACAGGAACAGAACACCACTCTGGTATTTTTTTCCAAGATTTTCCATCTATACATCACTGGTCTGTGTGCCCAGACAGTCATGCGCCTCTTTGCCACCCTCCTGAACTGGCTGTGGAACCATGGCCCTGCCGCCTCATGGCCTTTAAATAATCTATGCTTTTCACAAACTGGAAAGCTGATGCAGTTTCAAGGCCAGGTTGAACAGGGCTTTGAGCACCCAGGTCTAGTGGAAGGTGTCCCTGCCCATGGTAGGGGGTTGGAACTTGATAATCTTTAAGGTCTCTTCAGTCCTAAACACTCTATGATTCTATGCTAGTTCTTACTGTGGCTGTATCGAGTGACACCTTGTATCGATTTTAGAGCTTCTTTGATGGGGAGAGCTCATCCTTTAGCTAGGAAAATTTAATCAGTCCCTGTCAAATTATTCAACCAGAGACTGCTCTTGCTTCCATTATACGACTTTCTCAACTACCTTGCATTGGACCTTGACTTGTCATTTATTTGCACCCAATACTGCCTAGGGCACAGCCTATGTATCTTCAGTTTAAAAAAAACTCAGCAAAATACTTTTGCCCTGACTTAGAAGGTTCATAATAGGGAAAGGTTTACAAATGTCTTTAGTTCTGGACACCCAGATGGTGACAAGTGTTTTCCAGATGTCTGGGCTGTGAAACCCTGTAGTGCATCACTACAGGGACCTCTGGTGCTTTATGTGCTTCAAATTTTCCTGGGTTTTCCTGGGGGGCTGGCCACCCTGAAATGACAAAATCTAGAATTAGGAGTCACTGTTGAAAATGGTAACTGTGCCACAAGAACCATGTTTTATTTTCACTTTAAAAGAGCAGCTGAAACAGAGGACTAACTTTTAATGAAGGTTTTCCTATGTAGCTACATGAGAAATCATCTCTATTTTGAGCAGCAGCTTCCATGTGGTTTTAAGTATGACTGTTTGCTCTGTGCAGTAACATCTCCCTTGATACATGAAGTGCAGCACTACATAAATCTTTCCAAAAGGAGGTTTAGCACATCCTAGCCAGGGCAGGCAAAGACAGCCAGGTCCTACAGCCAGCTTTGCTGCTGGAAGGACTTTAGCTGGGTTGGCTCTCAAAGTCCTGCTCCATCAGTTTGTCTTCCATAAGGCCTGCCTGCATGATATAGTCTCATGAGAGGTATGACTGAACAAGAACCTTGTTAAAACTGGATTGAAGACTTCAACGTGTATCGTGATACACAATGCTGCTGCTGACTGAGTTTAAACCATGACAAGTGTGCATAGTGTGTGCATGGAAATAGTCTCTTATTGAACACAAAATGCTTGAAAAACCATTTTGAGAGACTGGAAAGTGTCGATGAAGGGCTGGCACGAGGTGAATAGAAGCTGCTCAAACTGGGTGCAGTGCCTAGGTCCTCTGGAGGGAGATGTCCCAGGACTTTAACTGCTCTTTATTACCTGGGCACTTGCCCCAGGCTGGGGCAGGGTGCGGGTTTTCAGAGGCAGTGTTGACTCAGAACTAGAGCAAGGGGCCTCACTCGGGCCCTGCAGCCCTTTGGATGCTAAAACCTGACACTTCACTGCTGTACCTAATGTCAGTAGTTCCTGGCCCAGACTTCCCAGTGTATATTGCTTGTGTTTGCTCATTGCCTTTACCAAAAGCTGTAGGTTTTAAAGTCTCCAGTTTATTCCTGGACGGCCCGTTTATGTACATCAAGGCACTAAACTGGCCCTCTGGCCAGGCTTGTGTGGATGCAGTTCCCACCTTTCTGCCCTTCCCAGCTTTCTTCCCAAAACATGGAGGCCACAAGAACCACTTGGACCTTCAGAAACAAAAAACAGACCAGAGATGCTGCTCACCATTTATGTATCACAGTATCACAGTATCACAGTATGTTAGAGATTGGAAGGGACCTCAAAAGATCATCTAGTCCAATCCCCCTGCCAGAGCAGGAACACCTAGATAATGTTACACAGGAATGCGTCCAGGCGGGTTTTGAATGTCTCCAGGGAAGGAGACTCCACAACCTCCCTGGGCAGCCTGTTCCAGTGTTCCGTCACCCTCACTGAGAAGAAGTTTCTTCTCAAGTTTAAGTGGAACCTCTTGTGTTCCAGTTTGTACCCATTACCCCTTGTCCTATCATTGTTTGCCACTGAGTAGAGCCTGGCTCCATCCTCGTGACACTCCCCCTTTATATATTTATAGACACTAATAAGGTCACCCCTCAGTCTCCTCTTCTCTAAACTATAGAGACCCAGCTCCCTCAGTCTTTCCTCATAAGGGAGATGTTCCACTCCCCTAATCATCTTAGTTGCCCTGCGCTGGACTCTCTCCAGCAGCTCCCTGTCCTTCTTGAACTGAGGGGCCCAGAACTGGACACAATATTCCAGATGCAGTCTCACCAGCGCAGAGGGGAAGGAGGACCTCTCTCGACCTACTAACCACCCCCCTTCTAATACACCCCAGGATGCCATTGGCCTTCTTGGCCACAAGGGCACAGTGTTGGCTCATGGTCATCCTGTCGTCCACTAGGACCCCCAGGTCCCTCTCCCCTACACTGCTCTCTAACAGGTCATTCCCCAACCTATACTGGAACCTGGGGTTGTTCCTGCCCAGATGCAGGACTCTACACTTTCCCTTGTTATATTTCATCAAGTTACTCCCTGCCCAACTCTGCAGCCTGTCCAGGTCTCGCTGGATGGCAGCACAGCCTTCTGGTGTGTCAGCCACTCCTCCCAGCTTAGTGTCATCAGCAAACTTGCTGACAGTACACTCAATTCCCTCATCTAAATCGTTGATGAATATATTAAATAATACCGGTCCCAGTACTGACCCTTGAGGCACTCCACTAGTTACAGGCCTCCAACTAGACTCAGCCCCATAGACTACAACTCTCTGGCTTCTCTCCTTCAGCCAGTTCGCAGTCCACCTCACTACCTGATCATCCAGTCCACACTTCCTCATTTTAGCCGTGAGGATGCTGTGGGAGACTGTGTCAAATGCTTTGCTGAGGTCAAGGTAGACCACATCCACCGCTCTGCCATCATCCATCCACCGTGTTATTTCCTCATAAAAGGCTAAGAGATTGGTCAAACATGATTTCCCCCTGGTGAAGCCATGTTGACTGCCCCTCATAACCTTCTTATACCTGGAAACAAGCCAAGTGTGGCCTCCAGGACCCTTCTGTTAATGAAAACAGCAGAGATGCCTCTGTTTTAAGTAGCATCTTGGTGGATATGTCCGTTGTACCCACCTCAACTGCCTGTCAAAAGGGGCTTAGCAACAGTCCTATTCTTTACGTGCAAATGCTACAAAACTTGGGACCACAAAGGGGGACATTGCGCCTTTAATTGTAAAAACTTGAAAATAAAAAGCTTTTTTCTTTTTTTTTTTAATCAAATTCCTGATGAAGATGTGGAGGTTATATTTACTGAAAACCGAAATTTATGACAAACTCTTTCAATCAGCCGTGTGTACTGTTAGAGCTGCAGGAACCAATTTTATCCCGAGTGGGCTGGGTGTTTGCAGTTTGTAAGATCCTTGTCATTTTCCAGACACAATTAACTTTGTGGCTGGTTTGTTTTGCCAAGCCCCCAAGAATTCAATAAAAACATTATAAGTGAAGGAGATTCAATCTGCAGCTCTACATAGAATGATGGAAGTACAAAGTTGTGTTAGTGTCATCTGGAAACCGAGGGCAAACGATGACACGAGGGGAGGCATTGCAGGTAAAGGCTCCTCTCTGCTGCGTGCCTATGGAAAAGATTGAGATGAACAAAGGGAACAAGAGCTATGGTTCACCTGAAGTTGTCTGAATGTTGAAGGTTAAAAGTGAGTTAATTCATCTATATCCAAATGTCCTGGTGGTGTGTGCAACCAGCAAACCCAGGCAGCAGCTTTTCCTGGCCATCGAGTGTTGCTTTAAGCTTCAAGGCAAGATAGTCAGGGTCTTGGATTATTTGCTGCTAGAGAAGCCAGCTTTTCTAGAGCAATACCCTGCGTGGGTTTATTGCATTCAGTTGGCTTCAGTTGTAGCAACCAGCCATCACCCCCTTGCCAGGTGGCTCCTGCTCACTCAGGACTGAAGTCAAGCAGTGTCTCTGACCGTGAGGCTTTAGGGACACAGCAAATACTGTGAGGTTTCATGAACACATCTGCCCTCACCTGCTCCCACAAGAGAAGGGTGATGGCAGGGGGTGTCTCAGCCTTCTTCCAGCCTCTATCAGATCTGCACTTCCCCATTGCCTGTGGCACCTCCAGCCCCTCACATCCCCCTCTAGTCCCTCCAGGGGCCACAGTGCAAGCAGAGGAAATACATTGCCATACCCATTTCCAAACAAGCACCCATGGCCTCTTCTCTGCATCCCAGCTCCCTGTTCTCCTCTCAGTCTGACATAACCATATAACCATATAACCATATAACCATATGGGATCTTGCTCCAGCCAGTATTACTCCTCTGTAGATTATAAAAACAAAACACAAACTGTCACATTTTTGTAACCAGGAGGGTGGCTGACAGGACACAGCCCCGGGACACAAGTCCTCCT